AAGCTTTGAAGTTTAGCTTTGAGTTCCGGAGTTGCCATGGTAACAAGGCTTTATGGAACTTTACATGTATGATGTCATCGGCGCCGTGAACCTGATGGAACTGGGAGGTTTTCAGGTTCTAGAATGTGATGATGTCATACTCCCAGACGGGGCAAGAGCCACGTTTCCCTGTTGACTGAGGCCGAGTGTTGTTAAGAAGTCACTGATATGAGACAAACCTCGATACAGTGCGCTTTCGATTCGATACGGTTCAGTAAAAAATAAAGGCTAAATCATGGAAAATCTTTGTTAAACCACTTCTTGTGCAAAGTTCATATGAAACACAAACATTTTAATCCTCAAAACAGCGAAAATGTCAAACGAGTTTCCTTCCACTAAACAAACAACGAAACTGTAGCTGTAACAAAATCATTTAGTAAAATAAACCAAAAATACTCTTGGTGATATATCGATAGAGCAGCCCACAATATCGATACTGTGTCATCACATTAAACGATACGATATATCGATATTTCAATATTTTTGCACACCCCTCTACTCTTTATCACACTGTACTTTGCCACGAAATATCCAAAAGGTAAACGCACAAATGTTAAACCTGGTATTGAAATGATTAAAAAACTCACTGTTAGAACACAATGGCCACGTTCACATGATGTTTTTTAATTGTTCTGGATTAAATTGTTTGGACTTAAAATATTTTCCTTGGAGTTTACATGGAAATAATAATTCTGAATATCTGGGTTTCACGTGACATTACAGGGCGACGTTTGTCAGCACGCAAAATCAGATGGAGGGCAAGAAGTGAACCGACTGGAGGGAAATGCCGATGTGTTGTGCAGTTTACGGCTGTGCCAATTGTTCTAACCGAGAGAAGGAAAAGCGATTTTTTTAGAGTACCGAAGATAGTCGTCCACAAAGGTCAGAAATGGGAAAAGCTGACAGAACAACGCCATAAAAAGTGGATTACAAACTAGAGCCCGACCGATATGGATTTTGCTGTGGCCGATATGAAACCGATATAATGGGAGTTGGCGCTGCCGATATAATCACCGATATATTTAGTGATGTAAAAATTCACTGTAAATGTTAAATTAAATTCTACGCATGATTACAAGCAAAAAAGTCAATCATTCTGCACCCCTATGACGAACAGGAAGTCGGCCATATTGGATCAAACATTCGCCGCCGTTTTGACTTGGGGGTCTACAAAAAGATTCAAGTCCCCGGGGTTTGGTCCAAATTAGCTCAAATTTGACATGTCACATCTACAGACATGAACTCACAGAAGTTGCCAAATTTTTTTGGGATACTCCTTACAGTTCGCCCGTAGCACGCCGGCGAATAACGCCTTCATTTCCTGCTTTTTCTGTGACCTGTCACGGCCACAGGCATTGTCCTAGAGAACTCAAATTCAAATCACAATTGCGTGATCCAGGCCTGAATGTGATGAAATATGAAATTTAATAAAAGTGAACTCTATAGCGCCCCCTAGCATAGACGTGAAACATCAACATTATCGGATTTGGACCAAATTCGAGAATTAAATTCTATGCATGTTTACAAGCAAAAAAGTCATTTTTTACGGTTGGTCAGCAGGGGCGCAAAGACTACCCCCCAAAAAATAGTTAAAAAATAATTACACACACAGGCTTAGTCCGATCGTGCTGAAATTTGAATCACTCATGCCTGATTTCGACCTGATTATAATACACTATAAAACATATGAAATGTGAACACTATAGCGCCCCCTAGCATTGACATGAAACGTCAACATTGTCGGATTTGTACCAAAGTCGGGGATTAAATTCTATGCATGATTGTAAACAAAAACAGTATATTACGGATATTGGGCATTTTTCATGGTTGGCCAGTAGGGGCGCAATGACTCCTCTGAAACATTTAAAGGTGCATTATTTAATGTGTCTAATGGACGAGCTGTCGACCTGGGCGGATGTAGGGAAGAGAGGGTGGCGTGCCGGGGCGGTCGCGAGTCCCCGGAGGTCGCGTGGGGGGGGCGGTGCGCGCCCGGGGCGAGGGCCACCATCGCCGCGCGCGGCTTTAATTTTAAACTGAAATGCATTTTGAATAATATAAATTGATATTTTTCTGATACAGGTTTCCAGCAGGCTAATGTCACAATGCTGCCGGTTTCTTTGGCTGAAGATTTTGAAGCTTTTTGTCGAATGAACTCTGCTCCTTTACCCCTCATTTACAGAAGCTGCCCCGGGGAAACACACTGCCCCCCGGTGGCTAAAGACGCAGACATCAGGTACAACATACAGCTTATTCACTGCAAATTTCTCTGATCTGGCCAAAATTTTAAAACTTATATCAGGTTATTCATTTTGTTTTCAGATTTATTATCTACTTACAAGTTTCAATTGGTTGTATAATCTTAAAAATGATCATGTATATTTCTTCCATGAATCAACTAGGCAGAAAATCTTAAATTTAGGTAATAAATGTGTAAAAGAAAAGGCAATAAATTTTGAATAAGAAGCTACATTTACCATAGTTTTCCCCTGCAACACTTAACTTATTTTAAAACTCAGTGATCCAAATTTGCTTGATACTCGAGTATGTTTATCTAAAACTTAGTGAAACTGCTTAATTCTAGTCTAGAGGTAATTTATTTTAAGATAACTTGTCAAGTAAAATGATCTTGCTGCATGGACAGATAATTTCACTATTTTTAAGTCATTTTCTGATAGATTTAAGTGTTAAAGCTTTTTTGCCAAGCTTTGTGCAGTGTTTCTATTTAAAATATCAAGAGATGTTAGCTGTGACTCTAAGAATATATTGTTGCTAGGGTAGAAAATCTCCACAGTATGGCATTAAACTTCATCTAACTCCACAGGTGATGCTAGGGCCAAGTTACAAGCTAGGTCTGTGGAGAGCCAAACTTGCTCACAATAAAAATGGGTGTGAGTCCTGAAAAAGGCAGAAGAATTAAACACCGCAAGCAAACTGAGCTTTGTTTTAATGCAATTTGACCAAAAATAACTGATTTAGCATTAACAGTGTTTACAGGTTGTTGTTTTTTTGTTGAAAATCAGACACATGAATGAGTCCATGAACATGTACTCGTAGTAGTTTTCAGAGCATTTAAAAACTTGGTTGTGTTTGCTGATGTGTGCATTGTGTAATCAGGCACAGCAAATTCAAGAGTGTTAATTCAACTTGTATATTGTTAATTTTAACACTTTTACCATGTCATATGGGGTCCACAATAAAATGAGTTAAAACTACACTTTCCAAAGTGTAGAAGGCTCAACACTTGTAAAGTGATGTAACCACACTCCTCATAACTGAATATGACACTGATTAAGATTTGATTTGTTTTACACTAAGTGTATAATGAAAAACTAATAACTCTATATTGCTATGTTTTAACACTTTATGAAGTAGAAATAGTGTAGAGTGTTCGTCGTGTTACACTATTCAATAGTAACTCTTTCTTCACTAAATATGGTGTAAATGCTGTGGTCATTCTAGTTCATAATCCCTTTTACAAATGTAAAATAATGAAAACCACCACAAAATTCCATTTCAACTTAACTTGTATTAAAACAATGCACATCATACAATCAACACGATGTAAACAAGTTATATGACACAATACTATTTTTGCAAAATCCAAATAACAGCAGGAATTCTCTGTGAACTCAACAGTTGGTCACAATGACTGTCATTTATTTTTTTTAAGTTGATTTTTCAATGCAAGCAGTCGATGGATGAATCAAGATCTTGTTTTGAATGGAATTCAGGCGTGCTCATCTCCAAAAATGAAAGGAGCATGTCTGACTGTTTGAAACCAGATCTTCTCTCCATTATATAAATGTAACAATGTTCACAATAGAGGCAGTCCTGCCAATTATGAAACATTAACATTGCAGAAACTTTTTACCTCAAGAGTCAGTCTTTCACTCTTGGGGTTTCTTTTGACACATCCAACATCCATGTTGTAATGATGACAGTTCTTTGAATACAGGTGTAAAGTTTGTGAGAGTCTGAGGACCAAGTGCCTTGAAGTGTCCATCAAATTCAGCCAGGTCAATGATGACATAAAAAAACCTTTGTCCTTCCCACTTCAGTCACAGGTAGAAAAGCCGTCCAGGCTCAACCAGCAAGAAATGTGTCCATACAGATGTGTAAAATAAAATATAGAATAGAATAAATATAACATATACAAACTTTTGAATTTGCTGTGTGGTAAAGGCTGAACATTCTGCTGTAGATAAGCAGGTAAAGCCTGCAAGCATAATGTTGTTGTAAGTATCAATATGCAGTATGTATGTGTATACTTTTACCAGGTTAGGGGGATAAAGTACCTGTTTGAAAGTTTTTTGTGTTAAATCTCTGAGCAGTGATCATTTATATTTTTTCAGTTCCATTTAAATATGTTTTGGGTCTTTCTCTAATACTTGAGAAACTAAGAGAATTTTTTTTTTTTCATTAAACACTTTGGGCAATTTATCAAACTTATGCAATGTTGTCATAAGTTGTCATAAATTATTTGAGCAAGAATAATAAACAGCAATTTTATAGTTGTGATCATTTTAAACCTAAAGTTCAAACAATCTGGCTGATGTTTCACTACACTGCCCAGATTATTACAATTTAAGAAATCTGAAAATTTCCACACCCAAGTAAAATGTTTCTAGCGTCCATTAGGACTGAACACTCTGTCACTGCTTTACTTGGAATGTTCTAGTTATAATTCAATTAAAACAGACTGCAGTGGTCCAAAGTTACTCCTCACTCACCTTATGCATTCAGAGCATTCTAATTGTTCACTGTGATGAGTTTATAAGTGCTTTTCACTACTCTCAGAGATCAGAGCAAAAGCTAACACCAACTAGCATGCTAACACACACTTCCTGATTATTTTTTCAACTCTAGGACAGATATCTCTCGGTACTGCATCTATGACAACGGCAAAATGGTGAAAACTGTCTCCAACTTGAAAAAATACAGCAATGAATTCAGGTAAATATAAAATGCATAAACCACAGCGTTTCTTCTTAAAATATGATGCAATATTTGATATTGCTTAAACCTCCCCTAAACCTGTCTCTCTGGTGCAGGGACATAGTATGTTTTTATCTGGGATGCAGTTTTGGTTTCGAGGGGAAACTTAAAGAGGCTGGAATCCCCGTGAGGAATGTGGAGCAGAAGAAAAATGTCAGCATGTACAGAGTAAGTCAACTGTTCATTAAAGCTACACTACATAACTTTTCAGGTTACGTACCACCTGCTTGTGTTTAGGGAATATGGTCTATTGCTTTGCCTAGCTGGAACTCTCCATACTATGACATTTAATTTATATATCACCATGGGAGTAAGCAAGTGACCAGTGACCAGGCCAAGGTGGTCAGACAGATCAGATCTGTGGAGAGGCAACCCCACTCACAGCAAGAATGGAAGAAAGGAAAGTTACGTAGTGCACCTTTACATATGATTTATTGTTTTCTATTATTTTTAGGCTGATTCAAAGGAAATTATTTAGATTTCAAGATGAGCTGTTTAAAATATGTGTTAATTAAACATAAAATATTTTGATGGAAACTGATAGTTTGCAGTGACATCACACTGGGGGTGCTCTACATGTATCTCTGTGTTGGAATGTTAAGCATTTACCATGAGAACACAATGCAATTAGCATACACTGTAAAAAAGATTGTCTGAAAACTCAAGGAAAATACAATAAATAGGTGACATAACACATTTAGTTGGGGTTAGGGGTTTTCTTAACTATGTTGTATATCACAAAAGGAAATTAAAAATAATACATGTCTGTAAATGTGTTTGTGTGCAGACCTCTGTACCCTGTGTACCAGCTGGAGTCTTTCAATGCCTCCTGGTGGTCACAATGCGTCCTGTTCCGGCTCAGATGCTGGATACTGTAGTAGAGGTCACCCACCTCAACCCACTGGCCCACGGAGCTCCTGTGCACATAGGAGACCCAGGTAAAAAACAATCATAAACCTAAACCAAGTACTTTCAAAAAAAAAAATAAATAAATAAATAAAAATATATATATATATATATATATATATATATATATATATATATATATATATATATATGAGAGAGAGAGAGAGAGAGAGAGAGAGAGAGAGAGAGAGAGAGAGAGAGAGAGAGAGATAGATAGATAGATAGATAGATAGATAGATAGATAGATAGATAGATAGATAGATATAGATATAGATATATAGATATATAATACCAAGTTACTGGTCAAATGGTAGGTTTGAGCAATAAAACATCTGTAATACAATAAATGCTACATCTATTCTATAGAACATCATTTCCACAGAGACAAGCTGCTGACGAACCCTCTACCAGAAAATCTATAGTAAAACTATTGATACTTGAAACTAGACACTCATTTGAGCATGTATTGATACTAAAAAAGTCAAATTCACAGGACAGAAATGAACATTTCCTGAATAGTTTTAGAATGATTTTGAGTTGTATCAGAACAAGTATCAGAGCACATAGACTAGTATATGCCTATGAACTACTATGGAACCTACCTGGACCACTGAGGGATTACACACATATAAGACCACTTGGGAATATAGAAGAAAGTACTATGATTTGATGCTGAAAAACACATTGTGTGGTCTAAATAAAGTGTTTTGTAATGCAAAGAATAACATTAACCAACAAGTAAGATGTCTTGTAACATTTAAGGTTGTAGAAAAGTTTCCAGTTTCATTCTGTAATCCCTGGAGAGGTAGAAGATCAAAATTAGGACTAAACTGGGGCTAAACCAGGTCTAAACAGGTCCAAGCTAAGTCTGTTCCAGATTTAAAGAATCAGTCATAACATGCCCCTCCCCTCCTCTCCCTGGCCCATGTGTAATGTGTACTATATTTCAGCTCTACTGGGGATCCAGGACCTGTCCAGACCGGCTTATGGGGACGCAGTAGAGCAGCAGGCCGGAGATGTACCTGTGTTCTGGGCCTGTGGAGTCACGTCTGTGGAGGCAATACTTAGAGCCAGTAAGTACAATTTTGCCTAATGTAGATTGGTTTAGTCCTGGTCTAGTCCAGGTTTAGTTTAGTCCCAGTTTTGATATGCACTATGTGAGTGTGAATGCAGTTCAATCTTGATGCATAGTTCTATTTGTTACATGATAAATTGTCATGTTAAAGGTGCACTATGTAAGATTTCTGGCACTTTCTGCCAGGGAGATTGCTTTCCTTGGAATGCACCACAGTATGGCATTAAACTTAGATAAGATTAATATCATACTGTGAAAAATGCAAAGCAAAACAACAACATCTCCATGGTGATGGACCTCCTTGCACCTGGAAAGTTACACAGTGCACCTTTAAATGTAAAATACGTGTCTAACCTTCTCTTTTTCTTGTCCAGAGCCAGCGTTGGCCTTCAGTCACTCTCCAGGCTGCATGTTCCTCACTGACCTACCAGACTCCTCTTCCACCTCCTCGTCCATTTCCTCCTCCCCTATAGACCCCCATCTCATTCCCCTGAGCTTCAAATTATCCCAGAATCCTTTGCTCTACAGCTTAGCGTCCAAGAGGGCTGTGCACAAAATCAGACAACTGGAGAACATTATCAATAAGAAGAATCCAGGCGAGTTAATAAGAGTTAATAAGATTCAATGCATTTACAATCAGAGAAACTAGGAATTTATTGTACAACATAAAATAAAACATAAACTGATAAAAAATAAGATGAACGTCCTCTTTTGGATTTATCACAAAATAGAATTACTTTATATTTTCTGTAGCCTCTTTTTAGACCTGGTTTTCTTCTAAACTATGCCACTACCTGTGCTGCTGTGTGCTGCTCTAGTTAGTGTACATACTGTTGTTGTGTCCTTAGGCAAGACACTTCGCCCATCTTACCTATTATGAATGCAGCGTGTGAGTGTTGCTGGTGGTCATTTAGAATTGAAGTGGTTCCAACTATTGTCTCAGCTCTAGATGCAAATCTTCACAGACATCAATTCTTTCAGACACTTTCCAACCCCGTGTCAGTTGTCATGGAAACTAGATAATACCATATTCACTTAACTTTGACAGTAATAATAATGCTAGTATTCAGTATGATCATTTAAAAGCCTTAATTTTGTCTTCATGTATTTGTCCTTTAGATGCTGTAATAGACCATGATGCACTGGTCCGCTGCTGTCTGGCCCTCTCTCACGCCTCCTCCGTTGCCATAGTAACGCACCATCTGAACAGGTAGCTGCTATTTTGGACTAACCTCCTGAGTCATGAATCACATTATCAGATTTGGGTTATTTTAGACTTTAGCCACAATGACAAAACTTGTACAGAGCAAAAAAGGTTTCAGCTGATACTCTGCAGTGACATCACGCTGGGGGTGGGCCACATGTATCTGTATGGGGGAATGTTGAGAAGTTACCATGGCAGCACAATACACACATGAGCAAACACAGCCAAAAAAGTTCTAAGATCATCTAAAAACCTCCCCTTATTGATATTAGCACTGATTTATTGTCTATCCTTATTTATTATTATTGTAGCATAAATTCTTGTAAATTAAAACTTTTTTGTCCCTTGTAGACTTTCACCTGGAACTGTTGCCATGGCGAACATGCTGATGTCTCTAGGGAAACAGGTGACCATGGTAACAGACCGGATAGACAGCATCCAAAAGTCAGTGAGCATCGGTGAGAGACATGACCAAGTTTATTATTATTATTGTACTAAAGAAAGGCTTTTGTTAAGCACAACTGTTGGTATAGAAGTTTACCCTCAAACTGGAAGGCCCCCAGAGGCAAAAAGATGAGAAGCCAAGACATATATTAGCTCATGCATTTTAGAAAATTTGTTGCTGAATTGTAGAAATATTGTCAGATTATTGTTATTAGGGGAATTAAAATATGCTTATTTATTTAGACTTATTCACCTACACCTACATACATACACCTACATTCACCTTCCATGGAAACAGAAAGTTAAAATCATACTTCTGAAGATTCGCCATTGAGGATAATCCCATACTGTGGAATATTATAGCCAAAGGAACAACATTTCCATGGAAGCAAGCAGGCCAAATGAGAGTCAGGGCTGAGATGCAAGCCCAGGAAGAGTAAGGATGCTTTTTTTTTTTTTTTTTTTTTTTTCATTACACAATCAAAATGAAACACACTTTTATTTTATTCTATTTTATGCTAAAAAATAAATAAAAAAATGCATAGTGTGGTTTCAAACAGTTGTAGGCACACTTAAAAAAATCTCACTGATCAGCCATTACCCCCCTTTTTTATTTATATATTTTTATTTTATGAGATTTTTTTGTTAGTTAGTAATTGATAAGTTAGATTTACAGTTGAATTTACCATTTTGATGCGATCATCAGATGAGCTGTCTGCAACAATCCCTTTAGTCACCTTTGAAGAAGATGGTCCAGACTCTGCCCTCTACTTCCTGTGTGAGAATGGAGAAGTCTGCAGACCAAAGTATATTAATCTGATCACATACACAGCGTATAAAGGAGTTTATTAAGTGTTGTTGTGTTTGTTGTTGTAATACCAGATATGACCATGTGGTGGCGGTGTATCCCAGTGAACACGCTGCAGCTGTCACTTACAACAAGATGAAAGAGAGAGACCATCTGGAGGGTCATCAGAGCTGCTCAACTCTGCCAGAAACATACCTGGAATCAACACAACAGGTGAGTTAAGTCGCATAAATATGGAACTGAAATGTTTTGAAACGGGGATGGAGGATATTAACGCCACACTAAGGAACTTTTTTTGGAGGTGGCTACTGGCTAGCACTTCACATCAAGAAGTTTCCAGGTTCAGTTCTTTCTAAAGTGTGCATGTTTCTCCCCATGTAAATCTTCAGAGTACTTGGTAAAAAATAGGTCAAATGCAGAGAATACATTTCAATAAAGTGTACCTTATCTTACCTGCTTGTCTCCATGTAGATGTTGGCATTAAACTTAACTATCTCCATAGAGACAAGTTAAGGCTAGATCTGGGTAGAGGCAAGAGAGCAAGAGTAAGAATACATGTTTTTCAAAGTTTTTATCCATCCATCCATCCATTTTCGTCCGCTTATCCGGGGCCGGGTCGCGGGGGCAGCAGCCTAATCAGGGACTCCCAGACTTCCTTCACCCCAGACACGTCCTCCAGCTCCTCTGGGGGAATCCTGAGGCGTTCCCAGGCCAGCCGAGAGATATAGTCCCTCCAGCGTGTCCTGGGTCTTCCCCGGGGCCTCCTCCCGGTGGGACATGCCCGGAACACCTCCCGAGGGAGGCGCCCAGGAGGCATCCGGAACAGATGCCCGAGCCACCTCAACTGGCTCCTCTCGACGTGGAGGAGCCAGCCTCTACTCCGAGTTCCTCCCGTGTGACTGAGCTCCTCACCCTATCTCTAAGGGAGCACCCAGCCACCCTGCGGAGGAAACTCATTTCGAGCGCTTGTATCTGCAATCTTGTCCTTTCGGTCACTACCCAGAGCTCATGACCATAGGTGAGAGTAGGAACGACCTGTTGGCTTCATCAAGCCAGGACCTGCAATGTGCACTGGGGCGGTTTGCAGCTGAGTGTGAAGCGACTGGGATGAAGATCAGCTCTTCTAAGTCCAAAGTCATGGTTCTCGACTGGAAAAAGGTGGCTTGCCCTCTCCAGGTGGGTGGAGAGTCCCTGCCTCAAGTGGAGGAGTTCAAGTATCTGGGGGTCTTGTTCAAAGTTTTTATGCAACTTGAATAATTGCATGATACTCAATTTTAATGCAACTCTGTAGAATATTCCAGGCAACACAATAATCTCTGTGGAGCAGGTGGCAGAACTCCCACTCTGTCAGTATTTTTTATTTATTTATTTTTCATAGATTACGGTATTCAACAATTTAGGCTATTTCTTACTTTTTGTTTAATATGGGACACGTTTTGGGCAGGACAACACTCTGTATGATAAGTGGACCCAATCACACAAAGAGTTTGGTTAGCAGATCAATCCATCAGTAATTATTTCATATTTTATTAAAGGGCCCATATTACGCTCCTTTTTTCCTCATCTCAAACAAACCTGGACTCATGTTTTGTTTCATTCACACGTTTAACGCACAAACCCTGCATATTTAGGCTGAGTTCATCTTTCAAACGGAAAACACTCTTTTGATGTCAGGTGGTAATACAGGAAGTGCTCCACTGTGTTTTTAAGATCCATACATAGTCACTAGAACCATCTGGATAATTTTAGCTCTGGATTTGCCAATCTCTGCTAAACTAAATGCAAAATCTAGCTGTTAACTTGAAAACTACCACCACATGACATCACAAGATGGAATAGAGCATTCTGAGTTTTGGAGATTTAGAAAGACTAATAATAATAAAGGGTTACTCAAGCATGTATGAATGAAACACAACTTCAGGTATGTTTTTGAGGAGGTAACAGCATTCTAACATGACTTAAAGTTCACAAGAGTCAATATATGCGTATAATAGAACCTTTAACTACAGTGTTTTTCTCTGTGATTGCAGGCGTGTCTAACTGGGGTGGGTATGCAGTGTCTTGTGGTCTGTTCCTGCTCCAGTCCTGCCCTTCACATCAAAGATACTTAAAGAAGGGACTGACCCAGGAGGAGAGAGAGACACAGGAGAGCTCAGAACTGCCCACTGTGGACAAGGTAATAGCCAAACAGATACACACTCATTTAGACTGCAAAATATATGACTTAAATGTCCTATGTTTCGCTTTATTGGCTCTTATAATGTTGTAATGTCCTCAAAAACATATCTGGAGTTGTGTTTTGTTTCATTCACATTATTGCATAACCCTTTATTATTAGTATGTCTAGATCTCCAAACATCAGAATGATCTTTTCCACCTTGTGATGTCATGAAGCTGTAGTACTTAGCAGTTTAGTAGAGACTGGCAACGCCACTCATCCAAATTATTCTAATAAAGGTGTATGAAGTTTAAAAACACAATGGAGCACTTCCTGTATTACCATAAATGACACATGATAAACCTTATAAATGAGTATCTGCAGTTAAAAGCACATTCAAAATACCAATATTATGTTTTGAGTTATAATACTATTATACAGCAAAATCACCTGGTTTCTTTCTGACCATGGTCCTTTGAAATACTCACATCAGATTTTGTGTAATAATCTTAAATGTCCAATGAGATAATAGTCAGATTTTGGAGTGCATGTGAACAAAGCCTTTGATACCATGGACCCTGCCTGGGTGAATTGGGGGATTACTTTGTCATTGTCACATAAAATAGGGTTAATGAACTCAAATCTCTTATTTCTTAATCTATAATAACCTTTTTCTTTTTCTTTCTACATTTTAAGACCAATTTTTGCACTCAACTGGCTGATTAAAAATGGACTATGTTAACTTATTGGTTGGGGGTCCATCACCTGTTTGTTTTTATGGAAATGTTATGGAATGTTCCACAGTGTGGATTTAAACTAGCCTGATTCATCAGCTGGTTTCACTTCGTAGAAACTGTCTGACCATGCAGTGTTAGAATGCGTTCGCTCGACAGAAGGCAGGCACTCTTTTTTTATTTAACCAATCACTGTTATTCGGTCGTGACTTATGTAATGCGCCACTAATGGGGCTAACTAGTATATTAAGCTTTTCCCAAATCCTGTAGGAAAAAGGGCAATAACATCTTTCCCCTTGATGAAATTCACCAAACATTCTCTTTGTTTCAGCTGTACAGCAGGTGGTTTTATAGCTCTAAAATACCTACAGTACCAGGACAGGGATTCTGACTGTGAGTGGGTCTCTGTGATTATAGAAAGGTTTAATAGCATACTGTGAAAAATTCCAGACAAAGCAATAACATCTTAATGGAGAAAAGTATCTGAGGGACCCTCTAGCAGAAAAGTTACACAGTGCACCAACCTTGGCAATGCAATGCGTCAAGTGCACATGCCACTCATTTTTCTTCTCAAGAAATAAGAGATATTCAAATAAACTGATAACAGAAAGTGTTGTTTTTACGGTGTACTTGTTACTTTTCTAACTGTGCCTTTTTTTTCTTCAGGTGGAATCCTTGGGCGAGAAAGCAGACATTCAGATTATTACTCAATTACTGCAAGTGACTTTAGACCAGAACCTGCACACATCCTGATTCACAATGTATTATTTTGTACTATTTCAAGTGTAATTACATGTAGCTGCGAATGCTTTCTCTGGACATATGAGGAAGAATGTGATTGGTCAAACAGGTATACACACTTTAAATGTGCATTGTTTAACTTTTCTAATACAGGGTCTCCCACCTGCTTGTCTCCATGGAAATGATTGTTTTGCCTTGGATATTACACAGTATTAGCCGCATTAAACATCTAGTCAGCATTTCTTTAATTACAGGTGTTTTTATTGCTACAAAAAAACATGTTATGTATATGTACCTCTCCACAGATCTGAGCTCTAACTTGGATCGTGCCACCTGTGTGTCTCCGTGGAGTCACATAATGTCACACTGTGGAACATTCCAGGGAAAGCAATAGCCTCTCTATGGGGACAAACAGGAAAGTTATGCAATGCACATTTAAATGACGAGGCTCACAACAGCAGTTACAGAAAAACATTTTTTCAGTGTAAAGTTAACTGGAGCCAGAGTTGATGGAGCCCGATGGAGACATAGCTAACCCACTAGCCGGGTTAGCTATCTCCATTTAGATATACAGTCTATGGTTTGCACTAAAATTGCCTTGGAGACTTGGAACAGTAGAAAATACTATTAAAACACCACCTACACAGTTTAGTAGCAAAAAAAGGTTGATTTCGTGTTTAATTATACATCTAGTTGGATACTGCGGCTGTTATGTGATGTTATAACTATTTCTTTGAAAGACTACGTGTACAAAGCATTGATTTTCGGCTGAAGGCGTTACCGTGGTTACCATTGTGTATTCAGACTACATCTTTTCTCTCAGATTGGCTTTCATCTGTTTTGTCATTACATCTGACAGCCATAAGTGGGTCTAAGTAAGCCACCAGTTTGAAGACTTCTAACTTATGTGTTTCCATGGTTACAACCTATTAAAATAGGCTATAGACCACAGTTGGTGCCAATTACGTGTATGTGTTTCAGTTGGGTTATTTGTCTTACACTCACTATTACAACTGCTATTATCCTATCTGACTGTACTACTGTAAGTGTCAAGAAGTGATATGTCAAGTTTGATTATTAATTCAAATAAAATAAAGTGTGGTTTAACTGTTAAACTATATGAGCATGCATTTTAAATTATTTGTATTCAACTTAATTTTTGTCTGCACTTTCACAATAATACCACTTGAAGAACAAAAAGATACTTGAGTAATGTGTGGCCATACCAGCTTTTCAAGAACTGATCTCGTCAGATCTCAGAAGCTCAGCAGAGCACGGCCTGGTCTGACTTGGATGGGAGACCACTGGGAAAATCAAGTGCCACAGGGAAAATCAAGTGCCACAGGGGGGCGTCAGTCGCAAAACTGTCATTGTGTCCTTAGGCAAGGCACTTCACCCACATTGCCTAGTATGAAAGTGATGTGAGCGTGAGTGTTGGTGGTGGTCAGAGGAGCTGATGGTGCAGATTGGCAGCTTCGCTTCTGTCAGTTTGCCCCTGAGCAGCTGTGGTTACAATATTAGTTTACCACCTTTGGATATGGAGTGAATGAATAATGTTCTGTAAAGTGTTTTTGAGTGTAAAGAAAAGTACTGTATAAAACTGATGCACTATTATTATTATTATTATTATTATAGCTGAAACCATATAGTAGAATGTGACCAGAAGGCAGCAGCTGTGATGGTACTATTATTAATACTTTGCAGTGACATCGTGCTGGGGGTGTTCTACATGCACCTCTACGGTAGAATGTTCTAAAGTTACTATGGAGACACAATGCACACATTAGGAAACACTGCCATAAAGATTTATAATATCTGAAAACTCAAGAAAAACTACAAAATGGACTTAAAGAGCACATTTTCAGGAGCCTGCGATCAGTACGAGTGTCCGTGGTCATGTTTAGGAGTTTGACTTTCAACGAAAAAGTGAGAGTGACTAATTTAATTTTATGTAATAGAGACATACGCTATCCTCTTTTGGACTTCCTTTGTCAAATACAAACTTTGCATTTTTTATTCCACCGTTAATTTGCAAGTTCACCTCGCAGAAACGACAATGATCACTGACCGACACATTCACTGTCTGCTTTATTTGCTGCTGTGCCGGCAATTACTTGGACTCCACAGAGTGTTCTGGCGCATTACATACATCAGAAACAAATAGCAGCGATTGGTTAAATAAAAAAAGTACCCGCCTACCATCGAGCGAACTAATCCTAATGCTGCGAGGTCAGACAGTTTCCACAAAGTGAAACCAGCTGATGAATAAGGCTACCAAACAACAGCTAAAGGCTAAAACACAACTCTGACCTTCAAGATCCTCACCAGCTGACAGGGTTTGGTGCCCGGGCTTGTGTGTCACCTCTGCGCTCCCAGCGGACTGGCCCACGGTGCATGCTCCTCATCTGCGGCTTGCCCTGCAGATGTCCTGGGCGTCTCCGCACTTGTCCTGGCCGTCTCACCGGTGCTGCTCAAACAAGTCCTGAGAGCAAAGTAAAGTGCGGAAAATAGCTTTTTAAAAGAGCAAAGAATGTAGCCTACCCTATTTCCAATACAAATCAAAAAAGCACTTCAAATTAACCCCCTGTCTCTCCCCCAAGCACCTGACCTGAGACTTACTAACCCACTGAAGCACTTTGTCTTTATAATCATTATTTTAAGCTCACTTCAAAAATATCCCTCAGTGGAGTAAGACATTTGCTTATGAAATAAAGTCTCTTATTCCATTCTTAGATGATTCTGATTGCAAGAAATAAAATAAAAAATCCCAAAACATTCATCTTGTCTTCTTTCTTAAAGCTAAAACATTGGTTCTTATCTCTCACAGCAGGAGATATTTTTATCCATCTTCAAAACTGATTCACAGCTAGCAGTGGAAACATGTCAATTAAATAAACAGATCTCTTGCTGTGTTGTCTGAAGGTGACACGGCAAAACCACAACAAAATTCTTCAAGAAATTTAAACCGGGCTCTTTTCATGTTTCTGTTTTGAAAGAGGGGACAAAGAAGCTCAGTCTCCAACTGATTTACTGGTATATTTGAGCTATAAAACCACATGTAACTGAATAAATGTAAGGTAGGTACACATTGCACTTTTAAATTATGGATAAATGTTTGCTTTTTTTGTACAGTTCAGAGAGGGAGCACAGTGTGGAGGACTTGGATGTAAACAGCTGAGGTTGGTTTCCTAAATGACTTCTCAAAACCATAAATAAAACGAGTCTTCTGTGTATTTCTGGACTGTGGGCGTGTGTCTACAGTAACTAATCAAGCCGTCTGGACACAGGAACAGACCTGAAAATGTAATTATAGCACAAAAAACAATTCAGTTTCTACGGTAGTCTTTTTTTTCTCCACAAAACACAAAGCATACAGCAGATTTCAAGCTCCAAACTGAAGCAGGTTATGGGGCTGCACACGGCAACAAAGGAGGATCCATTATTTTGAATATTGTTGTTGTTTTTTTTGTGAGTGTTTTTTTTTTTTTTTTTTTTACAATCTTGACATGGTAAATTCTATCTAACAAAAACAAAAATGTGATTCCATAATACAAGTTTTAGGTTGGGGGTCCGTCACGATGTCATTGTTCTGCCTGGAATGTTCCACAGTATGACATTAAATAGACCTACATTTATTAAATCACAGGTGGTTTTATAGCTCAAAAATACCTCGAAAAATAGGCATTCTGACTGTGAGCGGGGTTGCCTCTCCACAGATCTGACCTGTAGAGGAGGTTTGTAGCTTAAATATTTGGACTAAATATTTATACTAAACAAAGAGTAAACGGTAACATCTTCATGATAGTGTTCATGATAGTCAAGACTGCACTAATCCAGACCAAGACCAGTCTGAGACAATATGGTCCTGAGACCAGGACAAGATCAAGACCTCTGAGGATTGAGACCGAGACAAGACCGAGACTTTTTAAGGCCGAGACCGAGACAAGATAGAGACCACAGTCCATCGAGACCAAATCGAGAGCATCCTTCTAATTTTTGACATTTATTTGTATTTTACAGTTATTCTGGCATATATATATCAATGTTTTTATAAATCTATCTCCATTTTATCACTCATCAAGTGTCAGACCTCAAGACCGAGACAAGACAGAGTCCAAATGCCTTTAAGACCGAGACAAGACCGAGTTCAAGCATCTTCAAGACCGAGAAAAGACCAAGTCCAAATGCCTTCAAGACTGAGACAAGACCGAGTTCAAGCACCTTCAAGACCGAGATAAGACCAGAGTTTAAGCGCCTTCAAGACCGAGACAAGACCAAGTCCAAACGTGGTCAAGTCCGAGACAAGACCGAGTCCAAATGCCTTCAAGAGCAAAACATGACCGAGTTCAAGCGCCTTCAAGACCGAGAAAAGATCGAGTCCAAATGCCTTCAAGACCGAGACACGACTGAGCCCAAGCACCTTCAAGACTGAGACAAGGCCAGTCTCAAGGCCAAGACCGGTCTCGATTACTACAACCCTACTTCATGACATCACAAGGTGGAACAAGGTGGAACAGAGCATTTTGAGCTTTGAAGATGTAGACAGACTAATAATAAAGAGTTACTCAAACATTTGAATGAAACAAAACACAACTCCAGGTCTGTTTTTGATGATAAAGCAATATTTTAAGATCACAAGAATCAATTCTGTGTAATTTAAGACCTTTAACATATATTATAGTTTCAAAATGGCAAAATCTACCAAAAATGTACCATAATCTAAACAACCCTTGTCCTCATTTGACTTCAGATCTCCCTCAACTTTGACCTTTTGACCTCACCTGACCCTGGTTGCATCACATCATTTCCTGTTTGAAGGAAATTAGCCGCTAGTTGTCGCTCATGGAGCCAAGACTAACACACACAGAGCCGAGCGTGGAAAGAAGCTCGCGCACTACGAAAACAAACTCCGCTCCTCACACACAACACTCTTATTGACTTTGATGGACCATTTTAATTTCAACTCCCCATCCACCTGACCTGTTTTATTAATCTGCAAAGGCTAATAAACACAGAGTAACAACAAGTATTTCATCTCATTATGGAGGAGGTCAGGTCTCTATTTGTTCAACACAATTTCAAAACAAAATAAAAAAGGTTCTGGGAAGGGTTATTAGTATTAAAGGTCCTATATTACACAAAATTGACTCTTGTGAGCTTTAAGTCATGTTATAATGTTGTTACCTCCTCAACAACAGACCTGGTGTTGTGTTTTGTTTCATTCACATGTTTGAGTAACTCTTTATTATTAGTCTGTCTTCATCCAAATGCTCTGTTCCACCTTGTGATGTCATGTAGTGTTATAGCCAGTGTTGGGGAGTAACTAATTACATGTACCGGAGTTACGTAATCAGAGTACAAATTATGAGTAACTGTATTCGATTACAGTTACTGTTTCAATGAGAGATTTTCCTGTTTTTACATTTTGGGCTAAATCCCCCTTTTCTTTTTTTGCTGGACACTAAACCAGGTCTAAAACCAGGTCTAAACCAGGACTAAAACCAGGTCTAAACCAGGACTAAACCAGAACTAAACCAGGTCTAAAACCAGGTCTAAACTAGGTCTTAAACCAGGTCTAAAACCAGGTCTAAACTAGGTCTTAAACCAGGTCTAAAACCAGGTCTAAACTAGGTCTAAACCAGGTATAAACCAGGTATAAAACCAGGTCTAAACCAGGTCTAAAACCAGGTCTAAACAAGGTCTTAAACCAGGTCTAAAACCAGGTCTAAACTAGATCTAAACCAGGTCTAAAACCAGGTCTAAACAAGGTCTTAAACCAGGTCTAAACTAGATCTAAACCAGGTATAAACCAGGTCTAAAACCAGGTCTAAACCAGGTCTAAACCAGGTCTAAACCAGGTCTAAAACCAGGTCTAAACTAGGTCTAAACCAGGTCTAAACCAGGTCTAAAACCAGGTCTAAACTAGATCTAAACCAGGTATAAACCAGATCTAAAACCAGGTCTAAACCAGGTCTAAACCAGGTCTAAAACCAGGTCTAAAACTAGGTCTAAACCAGGTCTAAAACCAGGTCTAAACTAGGTCTAAACCAGGTCTAAACCAGGTCTAAACTAGGTCTAAACCAGGTCTAAACCAGGTCTAAACCAGGTCTAAACCAGGTCTAAACTAGGTCTAAACCAGGTCTAAACCAGGTCTAAAACCAGGTCTAAACCAGGTCTAAACCAGGTCTAAACCAGGTCTAAAACCAGGTCTAAACCAGGTCTAAAACCAGGGTCTAAACCAGGTCTAAACCAGGTCTAAAACCAGGTCTAAACCAGGTCTAAAACCAGGTCTAAACCAGGTCTAAACCAGGTCTAAACCAGGTCTAAAACAGGATTTAATCAATAATATTTTTAATTACGGTTAAGTAAATACTGGGCTTTTTATTTTCTTTTAGCAGACAAAACATCTTATGTTACGATGTCCTAGTCTTTGCTTCTCTACAGCAAACCAAGTAATCCAAAGTATTCAGATTACATTACTCACTTTAAGTAATTTAATGGATTACGTTACAAACTACATTCTGGGGTATGTAATCTGTAATCTGTAGGGGAATATATTTTAAAAGTCACCTTCCCAACACTGGTTACAGTTTTCACATGAACAGTTTCCTTTTACCTTTTGTTCAGTAGAAATTGGCCGTTCCAGGACTGAAATTATCCAAATGATTATAGATGATAGTGAAGGTGCATGGGGTTTAAAACCACAGTGAAGCGCTTCCTGTATTACCACATGACATCACAAGGTGGGACAGGGTGTTTTCTGTCTGAGAGAAGAACGCAGTCTAAATTTGCAGGGTTTGTGTGTTAAACGTGTAAATGAAACAAAACACAACTTCAGGTCTGTTTGTGATGAGGAAACAACATTATAACATTCAGTTTGGTTCAGTCCTTGTATACTTCTGGTTTGGTCCTGGTTTAGTCCTGGATAAGTCTTGGTTTAGTTTTGGCTTAGTCCTGATATAGTGTTGATGAGGAAACAACATTATAACATATTTCAGAACAATATAAAATAGACTCTTTAAACGTCTGTCAAATAATTAAAGGTGTACTATGTAACTTTACTGTTTGGTCATGATTTAAATGTAGACAGGGTTTAGTTGTAGCTCAGTTTAGTTCTGTTTTGGACTTGTTTAAGACTAGATTTTGTCCTGGTTTAGTCCTACGTTAGTCTTTGTTTAGTCTTCATTTAGTCCTGGTTTAGTCTTTGTTAATCCTGGTTTAGTCCTGGTTAAATCATGGTTTAGTCCTGGTTTAGCCCTGGTGTAGTCCTGGTTTAGTCCTGGTATAAATCTGATTTAGTCCTAGTTAAGTCTTGGTTTAGTATTGGTTTAGTCCTGGTTTAGTCTTTGTTTTGTCCTGGTTTATTTTTTGTTTAGTCCTGGTTAAGTCTTGGTTTGGTGCTGGTTTAGTCCTGGTTTATCCCTGGTATAGCCCTGGTGAAGTCTTGGTTAAGTCTTGGTTTAGGCCTGGTTTGGTCCTGGTTTGGTCCTGGTTTAGTCCTGGTTTAGTCCTGGTATAGCCCTGGTTAAGTCTTGGTTGAGTGTTGGTTTAGTCCTGGTTTAGTCCTGGTTTATTCCTGGTTTAATCCTTGTATATTTTTGGTTAGATCCTGGTTTAGTCATGCTTAAGTCCTGGTTAAATCTTGGTTTAGTCCTGGTTTATTCCTGGTATAATTCTGGTTTAGTTTTGGTTCTTGATGTTCTCTAAATCCACGAACATGAATAATTGAGCCGTACGTGTGAGTTTGTAAACAGAGAGTAGAAATGTGCTGAAGTCAGACTGAAGTTGTCATTAAAGGTCATTTCAGACTCTGGGACTCTGGGGCGGCTCTGACTCAGTAGTCCACAGCAGCGTCAGGTTTACTGTTTGTCAAAAATAAAACACACACACAACAGTCCCAGAAGAAGAAAAAAAAACAAAAAAAACAGGAAAATCTACACTGTAAAAATACTTAAAATCACTTTACAATGTTACTTAAGTTATCTGAATAGTTTTGACTTGATTTATTTACTCTATGAACCTAAATTATTCTAGTGATTCTGAATGATTCTTTTTAAATACAATGCACCTTATTTCAAAGGATAGAATAATTCCTGTCTAAGTTTTGGGTAGATGAGCCGTTTTTAAACTGATAGTTGTTGACAGTTGGTGTGTGCTTCCTTTGTGGAAAAAAATCCACTAAATCATTTATTTTGACAATAGTTCTTCTAACGTTTTGTGCACTGCAATAATGAAAATGGGAGAGTGGTATTTCCTCAACAAAAATGAACAAAAAATCGTTAAAAATAAAAAATAATTTAGCTACGTAAAGCATTATAATTCAGGTTAAAATTAAACTTAACCCACTGACAAATATACCAAAACTAATCAGAAACTGCACATCTAAAGGCACACTATGTCACTTTTCTGCTCGTCTCTATGGAGATGTCATTGCTTTAAGAGGGAAGTTTCACAGATACGGGAGACCTGCTATTAGAAAAGTTACATAGTGCATCTTTAAAGGAAATAAAAATCAAGATTAACATTCGGATCAAGAGAAAAACACCACACAAATAAACATGTCTTCTTACTGTATATTTTTATATAAAACAATTTTCACATTCACTTATGTCCACCAGCCACTCACACTGCAAAAATAAAAGTCCAGAAGAATTATAATTACTAGAATTACACACAATAATTTCAATTTTAAGTAGTTTTGACTAGTTTGGATAAGTAAATATATATATTTTTTATTTCAACATAATTCTGTCCAAGCAAAGTATAAAAAAATATGTGAAACTATAAAACAATTACCCGTAAGAACTGAAAATACACTTTGTTAAAACAGTATGTCAAATAAACTAGTCAAACTACTCAAATCTAAATGAATATTCTTAGTCAATTTAAATCATGTAGACATATTTTTACAGTGTAATGTGATGTTGCCATAGTAACAAAATATATATTATGATAGCATAGTTTCTTGTCATTCATTCACATCAAATACTGCACCATACATACACATTTAACATTATCAAGTAAACCTCAGACTTAATACAATGATACGTTTTATTTAGACCAGATTCATTTTTAACTGTGACATCTTATTATTGAAAATGACACTTTATAGTTGTGTGTATTTTTTCTCATGTAAACATTTTATATATTTCCCTTCTTTATAATGAAAACCTGACCTGATACCTGACCACCAAACCGTTAAAGGGCCCTTATTATGCCATTTTCTCATCTGTGTAGCAACGTTATAACCTGGCCTAAAGCTCACAAGAGTCAATTTTGCGTAGTACAGAACCTTTAATATCTGCATTTATTTGTTATTCTGAATATTTCCTGTGGATTAAGTGAATAAAATAAATAATTGTTTTTGCATCACACAGTTAAAGGGGGATTTCTGAACTGACTCTGCGCTGTTCAATCACTGTGAAAAGGCTCCTGGTTTAGTCCTGGTCGAGTCCTAGGTTAGTTTAGTTTCAAATATATTCTGAAATGTGAACTCACCCATGTTTGAAGTTTTTTCCATTACTTAAAGTTAGGAATTTTGGACATTGGCTCACTAGGAAATGAGGCCCTGATTGTTGGAGACGTGTGGAGACACATTTTAAAATATTCCATCCAGTCCTTGTATTTGCAGAGGTCGCTGGTGCTAGACTAGTGCATGTCAATGGCCATAGTTCTCCTGCCACTAAAAACAGTCTTACCCACTCCACAAAACACCTGAAACAAAACTATTATTACACCAGACTGTTGATATGAGTGTCTGTGTTGATAGAATAATCCATTCATTTTCTTCCTGCTTATCCGGAGCCGGGTAGAGGGGGCAGCAGTCTAAGCAGGGACTCCCACACTTCCTTCACCCCAGACATGTCCTCCAGCTCCTCCGGGGGGGACGCCAAGGCATTTCCAGGCCAGCTGAGAGACTAACCCTGACCCGGGGCTTCCTCCCGGTGGGACATGCCCAGAACACCTCCTGAGGAAGGCGCCCAGGAGGCATCCGGAACAGATGCCCGAGCCACCTCAACTGGCTCCTCTCAACGTGGAGGAGCAGCGGCTTTACTCCGAGCTCCTCCCGTGTGACTGAGCTCCTCACCCTGTCTCTAAGGGAGCGCCCAGCCACCCGGTGGAGGAAACTTCATTCTCATCCTTACAGTCATTACCCAGAGCTCATAACTATAGGTGAGGGGAGGAGGATGGAGGATGATAGAATAATGTTTGAAATAAAACTAACCTTGCATTGCATAAATCGTCGCATGTTGAGGGACTATTTTCTCATATATCAGTCCACCGCTGCTGAGCTTTCTATCAGGAAGTACAACTCACTGCTGCTGCTCAGACATAAATCCTTCAAATGCGAGGTTAGTTTTACTTCAGCACAACACAGACATTTCACATGGACAGTCTGGTGTAATAATAGATTTTCTTTGGGTGTTTTGTGGAGTGGGTAAGACTGTTTTTAGTGGCAGGAGAACTATGGCCATTGACATGCACTAGTCTAGCACCAGTGACCTCTGCAAATACAAGGACTGGATGGAATATTTAAAAGTGTCTCCACACGTCTCCAACACTCTGACTCACTAGGAAATGAGGTCCTATGTCCAAAATTCCAAACTGTCCCTTTAAAAAGCAAACACCATTGAATTGACTGATTAATATATTGCACTAATAATATAAGTTAATACTGATACTTTAAAGGTGCACTATAATGTAACTTTTTGGTTGGGGGTCCATCACTTGTTTGTTTCTGCTTTGCCTGAAATGTTCCACAGTATGACATTAAACACCACTACTTTACATTTATTCATTTATAAGTGGTTTTATAGCTTAAAAATACCTAGAAAAACAGGCATTATGACTGTGAGCGGGGTTGCCTCTCCACAGATCTGACCTGTAACTTGGTCTAGTTTGATCTCCATGAAGATACAAAGGTTTAATACCATACTGTGAAACATTTCAGACAAAGCAATAACATCTCTATGTAGAAAATCCAGAAAAGTTACACAATGCACATTTAATTTGAATACTGAAGTAAATCAAGTGCTTAATAAATACTGCAAATTCAGATGTCAAATTGGTCAAAAATCACTCTTCTGCATTGTTAACAAATTCACTACTTAAAAAATACAAACAGGCCTGCATAATATTCCAGTCTTCTTTATGCTAATTGTAGAAAAAATGGCTTCAACAGTTCAAAATTTGGTCATATTTATAAAAGAAATTTTAACTAAATTTCATTTCAATTTATTCCCATGTTATTTCAGTTCTGTGTGGAGGAGGTGGGTAGTTCTCAGGTACATTTACTTGAGTAACTTAATAAAGAATTGTACTTTTCAGAGTCCTTTTCTAATAATAATAGTAATATTTGTATTACTCATTACTTGAGTAAAAGTTTTGGTGACTCTTCCCACTGTGAGTAAGTGAGTAAGAAAGTGACAAAAGCTTTATGTGACAATAATGAAATGATTTGAATTTTGGGGTTTTTTGCACCGCTCCATCACATATGGTTTAATTTTTCAAATGTGTGTGTCTGTTCTTTGAAAATACCAGACTTTGTGCATTATTTTAATGTTTCATCCTTCCAATGACATTTACTTCAAAACATAAATCAGATGTTATGACAGTTACTTTTTAAGTTAGTCTTACTTGAGTATTGCTTTTCCCTAAGATATCAGCTAAACCAGGATCTTGGGAATGATATCCGATTCATCAAAATGTTCAGTCATTGTGAAAAGGCTCCTAGTTTAGTCCCGATATAGACTTGGTTTGATCCTGTTCTACTTCTGCTTGAGTCCTAGGTTAGTTCAGTTTCAAATTCAGATATTCTGAAATGTGAACTCACCCATGTTTGAAGATTTGTCCATTACTTAAAATGCAAACATCATTGAATTGACTGATTAATATATTGCACTATGAACTACAATATAAGTTCATCAAAATGTTCAGTATCGGCACTGTTTTTCCACATATGTTTTACTCTGGACTTGAGCATTAAATACTCACAACTTTATACTTCTACTTGAGTAATATTATTTTGAAGTAATGTTTCTCATACTTGAAAACAATTTTTGGCTACTCCCCACCTCTGCTCCACTCACAGAACCTGGTTTGCAGTGAGTAACCGCCCTCCTCTCCGTGCTTCAAGTTCATTTCAGAGCACAGTAGCTTTACTATTGCAACACTCCACTTTTTAAGAGCCTCTGTTAAAGTTTACAAACACGAGTAAACTGCTGAACCCTGCACTTTAAACACTGAGGGGTCATTACAAGAATGATTTACCTTTTATAAACCTTTATTTAACTTTTGGAGGCATTTCCTGTCTTTTGTAACACGGCAGGCTCAGTAGAAAACCATGATTATGATACAGACTCAAATGGAGTCACTTCAACACTAAGAACTGGCAGCTGATCCTTCTTTACTTTATGCCTGAATCAAGTGTATTTTAATGTTTACTCCTTGTAATTAGTTTTATTATAGTGACTAACTGTATTTATGTACTTATTTTTATTTACTTATTTTATTACTTATTTGAGTGATTATTTTAGTTAGCCCATTGTATCTGATGTCCAATATGATATTTAATGTTTTGTTTTAACTACAAAACTGATCAATATGACCAATCCCAGACTAATTCTTTAGTTTTAAAGGCCATAGTATGGCATTTTTTAGCTTTAACTAAAATATTTTTTCATGTTGGTTGCGTTTATTGCACTCTGGGCTGTGAGTGGGCTTGCATCTCCACAAACCTGACTCTTATTTTCCCTGGAGGAAGGCCTGCTTTGCTTGTATCCATGGTAATTTGTTCCTTTGGCTATAATATTCCTCAGCATGGCATAAAACATATCTAACTCCATATCTGTCTCCTTGGAAAAGTATAGTTTAATTTTATTTCCATGGAATTGTGGTTTGACTTACTATCTCCAAACTGTACCTTTAAATTCTTTGCCTCACTCTTTTGTCATTTGATAGTACCAGCTTATGTACTTTATCTGTGTGTGTTCATAAATTTTTTAAAGTTAATTAAAAACATTTGAATAATTTGAGTAACTTTACAGGCCTGTGTGTGTATTTTGATGTAAACTCATAACACCGTTCATACAACCCCATACAGCTGAGTGCATAAGCTGCCATAGAGTTTGATCCACTGGAGTGTCTGGTCCGAACATCGATCAAATATACATGCTGCCGTTGCGTCCTTCGGCAAGACACTTCGCGCACATCGTCCACTCTAATCACAGCGCGTGTTCTGGTTGCAAATGGAAGGGCATCTGGCGTTAAATCCTGCCAACATGCATCGATGGGCAATCCCAAAGAAGCGATGTAGCAGCTGGAAGATTGAAAACGATGGTCAGATGAAGTTGTCCATTCAAACCATGCATGTGTTTTTTTCTTCTCCAGTCGTAATATATTTGATGTTTGTTAATGTCCCATCCGTGGTTTTCGGAATGATAGAAAATGAGGAACGTTGCCATAACGATTCACGATTTAAACCAAAATATTATATCCTTTGAATGGGAAAAAAGTCGTCAAAATTGTTCCAACATCTTGAAAGCTGTTCATAGTACAACATTGTTCATTTTCATAAGCTTAAGTATTGTGCAGTGGCAGAGTGGTTAGCATTGTCTCCTCACAGCAAGAGGATCCTGGGGCTGGACTATGAGATGGTCTTTCTGTGTGGAAGTTGCATGTTCTCCGTGTGTCCAGGTTGGTTTTCCTAGGATGCTCCAGGTCTCCCGTCAATGAAAAACATGCACAATAGGCACATTTTCCAGCTTATATAGTCCTGACCAAGATCCTGACTCAAGTTGAAGATTTAAATAGAGAACACATTTCAAATAATGTCTTACTTAAAGGGCCCATATTACTCTATGTCATGATCTTTTAGAATGTTTCCTCCTCAAAAACGTACCTGGAGTTGTGTTTTGTTTCATTGCTAATCTCTAATGACTAAAGGTAAAAAGAAGCTGTTAACTTGGAAACTACCGCTTCATGACATCACAAGGTGGAACAGAGCATTTTGAGCTGTGGAGGTGTAGATTAACTACCGTATTTTTCGGACAATAAGTCGCTCCAGAGTGTAAGTCGCACCAGCCAAAAAATGCTTAATGAAGAATTAAAAAACATATAAGTCGCACCGGACTATAACTTCCACTTTATGGGGGAAATTTATTTTATGAAATCAGGGACCAGGAACCGACATTTTATCTTGAAAGGCAAGTTATAGTAATAACAACAGAACAGAGAACAACAGACTGAATAGGTGTTAATATGTTAACATAACATATTAACAATTATTCAGATAACTAGAGCTTAAACAACATAACATAAGTTTACCAAACTCTCCATCTCACTCCAAATCACTGAATCCATTGAATCCATTGAATTCTTCATCCTCTGTGTCACTTCTGAGCAACTCTGTGTAACTTTGGTTGGTTGGTGGAAGTTCAGGCTTTGTCAGTCCATCCAGTGACCTCCAGGAAAGTCACATGGTGCACCCTCCCGGTTACTGTGAAGCTGTGTTCTCCATTCGTGCCTTTCGCCAATCCCTCACAAGTTTCTCGTTCACTCCAAACTTTCTTTCTGCTGCTTAATTACAGTTTTCTGCTGCATATTTCACTACTTGCAGCAGCACAGCGGCTCTTTCTGCAGGAGACGTGCGCAGAAAACTGATACACAAGACTAGAGCCTCTTGCGCCTGTCAGTCTGAAAATGTTAATGCTTAAGTCGCACCGGTGTATAAGTCGCAGGAAACACCCAAAACCAAAAAAAGTGCGACTTGTAGTCCGAAAAATACGGTAATAATAAAGTGTTACTCATGTGTGAATGAAACAAAACACAACTCCAGTTATTTTTTTTTGATGAGGTAACAACAATATGACATGGCTTCAATTTAATAAGAGTCAATATTGTGTAATATAGGACCTTTAATCTTAACTTCTTAAAGGAGCACTGTGTAACTTTACTGTTTGGGGTATGCCAGAGCTACTCGTGTCCATGGAGATTTGATTTATTTGCATGTAATGTTCCACAGTATGGCATTAAACCTATTTGACAAGCAGTTCAGATAAGATAGCTTGATTTTTCCCAATGGGGGAATTCCAGTGTTGCAACGCACAGTTCACAGCAAAAGGACAGAGACAGGCATTCAAAACAAAATAGACATGTCATAGTTGACATCATAAGGCCAAGTTACAGGTCAGATCTGCGGAGAGGTGACTGTTAGAGTAAGAATGCTTATTTTTCAAGGTATTTCTGAACAATAAAATCACCAGTAATGGAATAAAGACATAATTGTTAAGTTTAATGTCATACTGTGGAACATGCAGACAAAGTAATGACATCTCCATGGAGACAAGCACCAGAAAAGTTCCATAGCGCACCTTTAACTTTATTTAAACCAAGCCTGTATTTTTCCCTTCTCCATTTGTGATATATTTACAGCTTTGCTCGGTCAATGATATTAAAGTTTTCTCATCATTTTGCGAGACTAAAATCGTGTGTTTTATGGAATTATCCGTTTTCACTTTTCTGTTGTTCATCGTACTGGTGTGGGTGAGCAGCGTAACCGTGGGATGCCCGTTGTGGTCGTCCGTGGCAACCTCCTGGGAGTCGGACGGGGGGTTGCCGGGGCTGGCGTTTCCGCAACGACGGCAGCAGCAGAGGAGTTTGGAAGCGGGGTGGAGCAGGGCCTTGTAGATCCCACGGCGAGCACTTTCACTGACGAAACAATACAACGCCGGGTCCGCCACGCAGTTCAGACTGGTCAGGAGCAGAGACATGTGGTAATAGTTGAATATACCTGGAAAACATAATGAAAAAGATCCGAATTAAGAGTTTGAGAAAGTTCAACAAATCAATAACGCTTTTCTTTTCCTTTCTTTTCGTACATGGGGGAGAGCGGATATATCTGAAATAAAATAAAGGGGTACAGAAAAATAGCAAATCAGCAGAGAGCTTAACCAAAATAGTGTTCCTTGTGTACTCCAACAATAATCCTCAACCTCATCCCTCCCACCCTCTCATTCCCTCCCAGCAACAAATCAGTACTTTTGATGCATATTTTTCTTTTATTTTCCTTTTTTCAAACTATATTTAGTAGTTTAACATAAATAATATACAATGACACTTGCTCCTTTCTCCATTGAGATGTTGTTGCATATTACTTGTAAAGTTCCACAGTATGGCGTTAAAGTTACCTATCTTCATCTATCATTTAATTGATTTGTGAAAAAAAAAAAAAAACAACGTGTTTTTATTGCTAAAAAATACACTGGAAAAACATGTATTCTCACTCTGCTCAATTTAATTTCTCTCCAGCGACTAGGTCAGTAATCTGAATACACTAGACGGTTTGCAAGAACCCCGGAAGTGGTAGACAGCGCACCGGCCAATCAGCGAAGAGCTGTGAAGCTGGCAATTACTTGGACACCACTGAGCGTTCTGGCGCATTACACATGTCTCGACCAAATAACTGCAATTGGTTAAATTAAAAAAATACCCGTCAACTGTCGAGCGAACGAATCCTAATGCTGCGAGGTCAGATGGTTTCACTTCATGGAAACCGGCTGACGAATCAGGCTAGGGGTTTAGGTAGCGACCATTCAGATCAGAGAGGCATTCTAGGTTTAAACCAACTGCATTTCAGCACTGAAACTGGCAACACAAATGAGAGACTCATGTGAGGCTCATTCTGCTTTCTCATTAGATAATCATCTTGAGAACCATAACACTAAATTATATAAACAACTTGGTGATTATGGCCAATGTTTTTATAGCAAATAAATTAGCACTGCAGTTGTTACAGTAAAAGCTGTATTTGATGTGAATCTCTCTATGGTCACATTTTTATAGAGTGATTTTCCATCTTCAAGGCACTTAAAGCTCTTTATATCAAGGAACCCATTCACACACACATTCACACATCAATGTACACAAACACTGGGTGTGAGGTGGGTTAAGTGTCTTGCCCAAAGACACAACAACAGCATTCATCTGTGGGAGGTGGAATCGTCCCGCCAACCCGTGGGTCAGTGGATCTGATCGTTCAGCCAATGATGTTTCCAGAGCAAGATTTCACCCACCAACCTTCAGATCAGTGGACAAACTCTCTACCCACTGAGCTACTGTCTACCTTTACAACACACATCGAGCATGTGTATGAATTTAAAATAAAAAAATCTAATTTTTGCTTACAATTCTTTTCAGTGGTAAAATTTGCATTCCTAACACAGAGAATTTTGCAACAGCTGCAGAACAGAGCTATAATCATTAGTCAGGGCATGTTGCCAGATACGAGTTTGTGAGTTTGACAGTTATTTGACAGCGTGCCAAAAATAGCATCTCCCTGAGCTACTGCAGTGAAAAAGACTACAATGACCAAAAAGCTTAAAAAGAGTCTTTGTAGCCAAAATAATGATTAGATTATTATTATTTATTTTATTTTTTTTGGTAATTCAATATTTATGGATTTTTTGTTATTTCTTAGAGTACTAAAGGCCACTGCTCTCCATCATAAATTCTGGCATCAATTTATTTATTTAATTTTTTACTTTAATTCCTTCTGTTTGCATGTGAGTTAGTTATATTTTTGTTTTGTCTTTGTTTATTTTGTTATTAATGGGCTGGGTGTACACTCAAATTATCACAATTATAAATACAAAAAGAAGAGAAAAGAAACTCTGACATCAGATTGCAGATTAAAATGTCGTGAATCTTAACTCATTACCTGTGATGAAGTTGCAGTCTCTCTCCAGCAGGGTGCGCACAAGCAGGAACACGTGGTAAGGAGAGAAACACACGAGGAAGATGAGGATGGTGCTACTGACGAGCTGTCGGATCCTGGACTTCTGATCGGGGAGGGTCCCAGCACTGCGCCCCACAGCCCGGAGAACGCACAGGTACGAGATCTGGGGTAAAGACATACACAAACATATACACACAGTGAACACATGTACATGTGCCAAATATATCATGTAGTTTACCTTCATTTGGGATGTATCAGCATAACTCAAATAGATCTAAAAGTAATGAACCAAAAAAACACTACAAAAATGTATAACTACGATGGCTGAGTGCTTCACTGTGAAGGCCAATTTATGGTCCAGCTTCAAATTGTATGTGTCACGATATAAACAGTCTGCATCGACGTGAACCCCCTACGTAGAGAGTCTGTATCGACCAACGTGCACCTCCGAAATGTTCTAATTATGCGTTGAAACGACGCAAACAGCAGGGGAAGCGACGCAGACAATAAGGGCTGTGATTGGTTGTCCCTACCACCACACTACATACACTTCTGTACTTGGCTTTCCTTTCTTTCAATATACATTGAGAAGTCATGTGTTTAATGGAGCTTTGCACATATGTGTTTACATTTTACAGAAACGAAACTTAAAACCGCATGGCTAACTTGCATAAACTAAGCACTCAAAAAAACAGCTCGCTCCTTGTGCCCTGACGCGGTCAGCTTCTGTCGGGCATAAACCCTCACGCTCTCCTCGGGGTCACATTGTCCCAAAGAATTTTTTTTTTCCTTCCCGCTCTCTTGGGGCAGGTCAATCAATCCCAACAATTTATTTTCAAATAAATTTTCACCAGGCGAGAAAATACATTTTTGGGTCTGACTGACCCGCCCCAAGAGAGTGGGAAGGAAAAAAATGTTTCTTTGGGTCAATGTGACCCCGAGGAGAGCGTGAGGGTTTAAAAAGGACACGACTCACTGGAATATATGTGTTCTTTCTGTGACAGAGGGATATTGTACTAATGGTGAATCTATTTTGGCAGTGAATTACTTTGCAGTGCATAGACCTTGACGCAGACCTATAAATCAAAAATGAGGGCAATAAGGTGATGGTGGCAGTGCGTGCGAGTCGACGCAGAACTATACTTCACCCTTAAGAAGACCCAGACCTTTCTGTGTGGAGTTTACATTTTTGTCCCCATTTCTGTTTGAGTACTTCAATTTTAGGAACGTAACCATATCTAAATCTTGTGGTACTATATTTCTACAATATGCATCTCACAGTATGATATTTATTGTTTGCGGATGCAACAAAATTGTGAATGCTACTTTTTCCTTTTTAACAAGCCTTAACAAGACTTTGGTACTTTATTACTGTCATAATCCAAAGAATTAAGATTTGAACGTGCTAGTTATTAAAAGTTATTTCTTCATGTATTCTGCATTGTAACAGAGCAAAGGATTATGGTCTATGTAGTTCCCTCTGTTTTTTAGCTTTTGCTGCAACATGGCAATGAATTTAATTTAAGAGATTTGTGAGTCATTATATTGTGAAGGCCAGCGATATTACTGAGAGACTTCTGATGATGCGATATCTCGATATTTTACTTTGACATCACTGAAGCACATGGAGAACATGCGGGCAGCATTTTGGCCATATAAAGCCATAAAGCTTACACTGACTGCTGCCTATACAGACTCTGTCACCAGAGAGGTCACTGGTGACATCATGTCCTAAATATCTGATCTCAGCTGTGAGTTGGAGGGCACTCACACACAGAGAAAACAGGAAAAGATAGCTTTTATCCTCTTTTGTTTTTGCAATCATAATGTGACATTTCAGAGCATTGTACTTAATGTCATGTTCAAAGCTAAACTGGGAGCAGATATTTAGAAGCTGCTGCAGCCCTGCACTGTGAGGCCATAGCTCTACTAGATCATCTGCATACATTAGATGGTTGTACAGATAATGTCCAAAACATCCAGTTTTACATCCAACATGTACAGACAGGTCATCAACAGAAATATTAACCAGAAGAGGAGACAAGACTCCACCCTGGCGAACTCCATCACTGACCCTGAATGAACAATTTTCCATGGTTAATTTGATGAAACGCTTAAGAAGTGTCCAGAAAACACATGAATATAGTGGACCCCTGGAAATTATATTTATCCAGCATTTCCTTCAACGCAAAGATACGTGTGTCAGTGTCATGGCCATGCTTAAAGCCAAACTGATTAGCTGTGGAGTACAGATATGGCTCAAGTCTGGTTAACAGAATCCTCTCTGGTACCTCAGATAATGAGTGAGCTACTGCTATCGTACGATAACTGCTCATGCCACTAAGTTTACTCATTTTATTTTTGATTACAGGAACCAAAACAATAGACAGTTATTGTTACATCCTTATTCGGTTTCCCTTATCAACCCAAAACATGCACACCACACTAGGTCAAATTTTAAAGTAGTCCTGACCAAGACAAGCTCAAGATCTGGAGATGCACTGCTCCTGACAGGTTGCCCCAGCGTCACTGAAGTCTGGGTCAAATACAGAAAATGAATTTTGAGGGAATGATTACCTCACCTTATTAATTATGCACTTTTCATACTCGGGTACTTAAGTATAGATTAGAAGTATTTTTTAATTGTGAAGTGATTTTTTTTCTGGACAAGCTAGAAGAGAAAGGTTTGCAAACTGTTTCAAAAGTAGCTTGAGTACAATGAGTAGTAACGTTTCTACTACTGAATTAAATGGTTCATAACAAAGCAAACCAAGGTAGAATTGTAAAGGAGTTATGTGCAATAGAACTTCCCTTCAGACTTTAAAGGTCCTATATTATGCAAAATTGATTCACGTGAGTTTTAAGACACGTTATAATGCTGTTACCTCATCAAAAACATACCTCAATTTGTTTTGTTTCATTCACACAAGTTTGAGTAATCCTTTTTATTTGTCTGTCTACATCCCCAAAGCTCAAAATGCTCTGTTCCACCTAGTGATGTCATGTAGTAGTAGTTCTTAAGATAACTGGTAGCCTTCACCTTTAGTTTAGTAGAGAAATTCCAGGGCTGAAATTATCCAAATGATTCTAGTAGTTTGAAGTTTGGCGTTAAAAACACAGTGAAGCTCTTCTTGTATTAACATATGACATCACAAGGTGTAACAGAGTGTTTTCAGTTTGATAGAAGTATGTAAGGTTTGTGTGTTAAACATGTGAATGAAACAAAACAGGAAACATGAGGAAACATTATAACATAGCTCAGAAAACAGGGTAATATGGGCCCTTTCTGCTTCTTTTACTCATTTCACTTGCACTGTAGCCTACAAACCCACCTCTACGAAACAAACCTAAACCAAGTCAGAGTCCCTTTAGCTGCATAAACGTATTACATAACACCTTCTCACCAGCAGGATGGCCAACGGGAGGGTGAACCCCACCACAAAGCGATAATAGTTGATTGGATACTCCCAGGGCTGCATGGGGTAGTGCTCGAAACACACGGACTGGTTGGTTCGGTCTCGGCTCAGTTCTTTATGTCTGAAGAACACGACGCCCACAGCGATCTCCTTCAACCAGATGATGGCGCTGACGAGCCAGGCGGCGCGCATGGACCGCAGGGATGTGAATCTGAAGACAAACATTGGATAAAAAGTTGTCAATGTTAGAGTTTATATATTGCAACTAAAGGCAATTTTCACTTCTCTTCTTTTCTCTTCTCTCTCTTTTACTTCTACTTTTTTATTTTTTAATTGTTTGCCTTCACTTAGTTTTTGATAATATCTGGGTTCGACATTTCTTATTATGATGGTGGGTTTGCAAATATGAAAAATGTACCATAAAGGAAAAAATGTGATCTGGAAATCTTGTATAGATACTATGATTCCTTAATAAAAAATATTTATAAAAAAGAGTTGGCAATGATGGTTAAAGTAAAAAAAAAAAAAAAAAAAAAAATGTTTAAAAGTGTTTAATTAATTACATTTTTGCCTTACTTAAAAGTTCCTGCATATTATACTTTTCAATTTAAATACAAGAGTAGGTACTGTATTTCTCAAAACATCTACAAATTTGATTTTCAGAATTAAAAACTGGGACACACCTGGGTTAGGATCACTGGTATAAATAAGACTGTGAAAAGAGCACGTAACATTGTCCTTTCTCGACTCACTTGTGGGTTAGTCATAATCCGAGGGACAGTTGTTGCTTTTTTTTTTTGTTTGTTTGTTTGTGTAACAGCCAGTGGCCCGATGCCACTAGCCACCTGGCTACTGATTTAAAGTTGTTCTGACGTGTTTGTAATATAAATCCACAGGTAAATTCTTAGTCCTTTATTGGCTTACCAATGCCATCCACATATTCCACAATACAAACAATGCAGTCAAAAATGCTTTGCCCCCCAATCAGCAGCACCTGTGGCTGCCTTCTTGGCCCTTAAATATGTTCAGGAGGGCAGCATACTGCCACACAGTGGATGGAGGACAAAGCCACAGGCAAGCAACAAATTAAAAGGTCAAAATGGCTCCTACAGTTTGTTTTATGGTCATTTTCAAGCATGGTTTTGATATTTTAGCTAAACAAATGACAATATATTCCCCTCTTTACTATTGGTGGGGGTCAAATTGGTCAAAAATAGGGACATCTGGGACATTTCTTGTATAAAACTGGGACAAATCACTGGTTTTATATAAATTTGCTGGGACAGAGGACACAGGGCTCAAAACTGGGACTGTCCCGGGTAAATAGAGACATCTGCTCACTCTAAATTAAAGTAATGCAGCCCAAACTTTTATGTAAAACAAACACCCATTGCTGCTAGCAGAAGAAAAAAATAGCTGTGGTATGGTAAGATTAGGTTAATTAGTTCTTGAAAACGAAACAATATGTAGAATTACTATTCATGAAATAAAACAGAAAAGATATTCATATGTAATGTGGAAACAACATTGTATCAAACTTAAGGTGACTTTCAAAACAACAAACTGGGACATCCCCGGTTTGTGGTGGTTGGTAATAATAAAATTGTGAATCGAGCGCATAACTAAAGAAAATTGTTTTGCAGTCGGCCCATTCATGATTAACGTGAGTCAGTATAGTCAAATATTCTTTGTGTTTTGGTCGTTTTTGAGCAGCTTTTCTGTATTTTACCTAAACAAATTACAGTGTATGTCTCTCTTTATTGTTAGCAGGGATTAGATTGGTTAAAAATAGGAATACTTGGACATTTCTTGTATAAAACTGGGACAAATCAATAGTTTTGGATAAATCCACTGGGACAGTGGACACACAGCTCAAAATTGGGACTGTCCTGGGTAAATAGGGACGTCTGGTGAGCCTAATCATACTTAAAAGTTTTAAATTATTAATTCAGCATAACATGGCCAACCAAAATTCTATGCTTTTCCTTTACCTTAGAATGCTGTATAATCTGGGAAATAGTTTTATCTTCAAGGGCTTGACTGACAGGTGGACTAACATATGTAAATTTAAGTCAAAAACAAATATGACACTTTAAGTAAAAAACAGGAAAAAATAATAATCTGGACGAGCAGATTACGAAGCAAAGCAAGAGATCCATGAATTTCAGAGAGGGGAAAAAAATGATCACTGTTGCCAACTTGTCATTGCAGTTACTATTCAAAACAAACTATTCTGTCTTTCTAATGGTGGAAACTCTAAAATGTTGGCTATAGAGCTCCGGACCCCACGTGACTCACGGTGGGCGGGCCGCCATTTTGGCAGTAAAAATGGATAGCGCCACCGCTGAATTTTTCAAGCCATCGGAGTACTCACTTTAATTCACAAGACATTGAGCTTCAGATCAAAATTAAATGGATTAAACATTGACCGTATAATGCCCCGGGGGTGTTTTTTAAAAAATATTTCCGCTGAAGAAGACGTCCCAGATACATGCAGTACATCGCCAAATGAACCAAAATTGGTCCGATTGACATGCCTCTGTTTCCTGGTAGAACAGCAATACCTCCAATTATCAACACAGATGTTCCCTGTTAAGACCACGGGACATCCTCATCTCAAGAGTCATCATGAACTCGTAAAACACAAAAGCACGGGTAACAGCAGCAGCAACAGCGATAAAGAGGAGCCCTCACCGCAGCTCAGATCCCTCAGGACGGGGGCCTTGGTGTGGTCCTTGGTCCGGAGGCTCCGTCCTCCATGTGCTGGTTCCAGACGGTAGCGAGCAAGACCAGTGCTTGATGGGCTGGGTTGAGCTGTTCCGTGTCATCGTCTGCACGCTGGTTCCATGCGGGAAAAGCGAGAATGCACTGTGGACTACAGGTCTGGACAGTTCGCTCCGGCGGTCAAGAACTGCGGCTGGTTCCGAGGTGATGCAAAGCATCCGGACAGAAGCGTGAATAGTTTGGTGGGTTATATGTTGTTCTGAGCGTCCGACCTCCGCGCTCTTTGTTCCTGGGAACGTTCTTGTCAGGCCAAGGCTCCTGACACCACTCCCCGCTGTAGCTCCTCTGAGCCCGGCCTGAACCGGAGCTTCTCCCGCTGGTTCAGGACTCTGGTTTGGATCTAGTCCGACTGTAGCATTTCTCACACTAGGCTAAAAGCAGGACATTTTTAAAGTTGAATCAATTGAATAAGCTATTGCCTATTTCCATAAAATTATTTGGTTAATTATAAGCCTAAAATAACAAATGCTGTTTGCTACTTTGGAGCCACACGTTCGCACATTGGTTCTTGCTCTGATCTTTGTGTATTACATTATCTGTATTGGAAAATTGTTGGCAAAATAATTCGGAAATGAATCGCGGCTGCGTCTGGAGAACAATCTATTATTGCGCTGGAGTCGTACAGCGCGAGTCAGCCGATCTGCCGATTACTGCCAAAATGGCGACACCTTGTGCCTGACGAGCCGGTATGACGTCAGCTCCCGGAGCTCTATAAGCAGGTTTTGTGAATATAATGAATACGTTTCTTTTGAGCTGATGTGCAGATATTTGGGAGTGAATAAACTGTGTGGATCGCCTGACAGAGAAAGTAATAGGTGTGAGTGAGTCTGTTCTACCTGCAGTGGTGTCCTTTCCCTTTCATGCATAAATAAAACCGTACACCTGTGTCAATACCTGATCTCAGGAGCTAAGCAGGGCCGGGCCTGGTTAGTACTTGGATGGGAGACTGGCTGGGGAAATCAGATGCTGCAGTGGCTGTAGTGCAAACTGTTGCTGTGTCTTTAGGCAAGGCACTTCAGTCACCTTGATGTCTGTACACTGGAGTATGAAAGTGTTTGTGAGAGAAAACGCAGGAGAATGGATGGAAATTTGCCCATATAATCCAGCAGGTTTACAGCATTGTTTCCCAAAGACTGGGTCGCGACTCTCAAGTGGGCCGCAAGAAATTTTTTTTGGGTCGCCTTGTCACGATCTGCTATGTAGGTCTGCAATATACAGTTCTGACACTGATCTACTCTTGCGCTCTCCTCCTCCACTGCACCCCGGACTGGAATGCACTACAAAAACGCAGACAGGTCCAACTATCTCATTAGAATTGTTGAAATGTTAAGACATGTTCTGTATAATTTCAAATTTTTTTGTAATTATTTTATTAACTATTTTGTTCCAATATTGCTGGTTCAGTTGAATGTTGAAAAGAAAAAGAAATGGGCTACATTTAATGTCCAAATAGGCAACTTATGAATACCTTTTATTGCTGGTTCAATGACTAGGGGTGTAACGATATCCAAGTCTCATGATAGGATATTTTCACGGTATGAACCTCAGAGTACGATATTTATTGCAATATTGTGGGAAAGCTCACGATTTGGTGGGGGGCTCACAATTAGGGATGTAACAATATTCAAATCTCTTGGTATGATATTTTCGCAATATGCATCTCACGGTATGATATTTATTGCGATATTCTGTGGAGGCTAAAACTGTTAATATGCCACTTTTTCCTCTTAAAATGCCTTGCCAAGACTTAATCCAAAGAACTAAGACTTAAAAGTGATTAGAACTGTTATTTCTTCTTGTAGTCTGCACTGAAATGGAGCAAAGGATCATGGTCTATGTAGTTCTCTCTGTCTTTTTTTTTAGCTATTGCTGCACCATAACTCTTAATTTAAGCAAAGAGACTTGTAATTCGATATATTGTGATGGTCCACGATATTATTGTGAAAACTTTGACGATACGATATCACATTATTTCGGTTATTGTTACATCCCTAATTAAAACTAATTGTTCAAGAGAGTCAACAATAAAATATCCTCATTAATGTTCAGCAATGGTTATCAAAGGTCCTGTATTACACAAAAATTGACTCTTGAGCTTATAATGTTGTTATCTCATCAAAAATATACCTGGAGTTGTTTTGTTTCATTCACATGTTTGAGTAATCCTGCTTTATTAATCTGTCTACATCTCCAAAGCTCAAAATGCTCTGTTCCACCTTGTGATGTCATGAAGCGAAGGTTTTCAAGTTAACAGCTACGTACTTTCAGTAGAGATTAGCAATTCCAGGGCTGTAATTATCCAAATGACTCTAGTGAAGGTGTATGGAGTTTAAAACACAGTGGAGCACTTCCTGTATTACCACATGACATCACAAGAGGTGTTTTCAGTTTGAGAGAAGAACTCAGCCTAAATGTGCAGAGCTTGTGTGTTAAACATGTCTGAATAAAACAAAACACAACTCTTTTCGATGAGGAAACCAAACAAACAGATGCATGATGTGTGACAGATGCTGCGGCTGTCTCCTTCTGAACAGATACTACAGTCTATATAAACTGTTACAACCACGCATTTTCACTGGATCTGTTCTCATATCAGTGCTAAAAGCTATCTGTAGATTATTATGATGACCCGTGCCTGTTGTAATCTCAAATTCTCAGGAAAAAATCAAATAAACTTACAGATGGTAGCTCTAAATGTGATGTGGTGTGTGATCTGTAGTCTGACCTGAGCGGGTGGACCACGGCGAGGTAGCGGTCGAGGCTGACGCAGCAGAGGAAGCCGATGCTGATGTAGATGTTTTCATAGAGGAGGAACCCACAGAGCTGACACAGCCACTCACGGTGGCTCCAGTCATCGCCCTGGCAACACAGACCAAAACATGAGAGGTACAGGAGACACAGGAGATACAGGAGAGTACAGGAGGTAAAGGAGGTACAGGAGATACAAGAGATACAGAGGTACAAGAGATACAAGAGACACAGGAAATACAGGAAATACAAGAGATACAAGAGGTACAAGAGATACAGGAGAGGATACAGGAGATGCAGCACAAGGATCAACACTCATTGATACTTTACAGCTGATGTCAACATCATTCTTGGGGGTGTGATGCTAATTGTAGGCTCTGCTCTGTCTGAGGCTTTATTTGACTTTAATCTGAGCTTTGTTTTTACACAATCTGACCATAAAGAACTGATTTAGCTGGAAGATGATCTGTGCTGTTACACAAGTCCCTCTCAATGTGTCTCTAATTTATAAAAACTTGCCTTTCTATATAATAAAAATAAACATGACCAACAATTTCCTTGGTTCTGTTCACATAGACTAGAATTTGATAATGTCACAATTTCAAATGGAGGACAGGGGTGTATAGAACTTTATGGGAAACTCACAGTTTTTGAATGAAATATCCAAACTTACACAATCGTTGAACTTGTACGCTGAATTAGTTAAAGATTTGCTCCACATTTTGTTGTATTTATCTTATGTTTACACTCCTTTCAAGTGACAACAATCACATTTTGGGTAATTGGGTGTTGGGGTGACTTTCTGAAGCTATTGTGAAGAATGTTTCCCTTTTGTTTCTTTCTTGCTTGTGTCAAGAAGCTATGGTAGTTACCTGAAAGATGTACTGGAGCCACAGGGGCAGAGAGCCGAGGTAGAGCAGGTCTGACACAGTGAGGTTCAGGAGGTACACGCCCAGCTCGTTCTTCTGCTTCAGCTGCAGCACCGCGTGATACAGGGAGTACAGGTTTGAAGGAACGCCAATCTGAGAGGTAAAGGATGGGACAGAAATAAAACATTACTAGAAGTTATTTAAAAAAAACACAATTGTAAACATTAAAAGGGTTAAAAGATAAAATTATCTTGTAGTGAGGCACACAAACTTCAAGCTTTTCAAAATGTTTTTGTTTTCTAGCATTAAGCTTTTAAATACTCATATAAAACATGTTTATTGAGTCAATTCTGACTCACAAGAACCCAAATTGACTCTTGTGAGCTTTTAGCCGTGTTATAATGTTGGAACCTCAACAATCCCACCTTATTATTCTGTCTACATCTCATAATGTCATGAAGTGGTAGTTTTCAAGTGAACAGCTCCTTTTACCTTTAGTTCAGTAGATTGGCAATTCCAGGGCAGAAAATATCCAAATGATTCTACTGAAGGTGTATTCATTGAGTTTAAACACACTGGAGCAGTTGTATTAATGGTACTACCACATGACATCACAAGGTGGAACAGAGTATTTTCCGTTTGAGAGAAGAATTCATCCTAAATATGCAGGGTTTGTGTTAAACATATGTGAATGAAACAAAATACAACTCGAGGTCTGTTTGTGATGAGGAAACAACAGTATAGACAAACGTTGATCAGACAGCGTAGTATGTTCCCTTTAATCATTTATTTCTTTGCCATGGCTAAAAGACACTATACAAATATCAAGGGAGTGTGCCTATGTTCCCTCAGTCCTATGTTCTTTAATTTCTAATTTTATTTATTTTTTTAACCAAAATTAGACCCTATGTTCCCACATTTCCTCTTTCCATTTCCTATCATCAATTTGCATCAGAATTTATCCCCATTTCTCCCAATTTGGTCGTCAATTACACCTAACCTATTCTCCAGCAGCAGTTGACTACAAATGTAATGTAGAGGTCATGGTGCAAAAGATCCTAGGTTGAAATGACTCTGAATCATCTCTTTAAATATGATATAAAAATAAAAATGACTTGACTTACAGTTTAATTCTGAGAAAAATCTTAGAAATAAGAAAAAGCAGTAAAAAGCAGGCGAGGATCTTTAGATTATTATGAAATTCAGTACAGAGTTTTTCACACACTTGTTTCTTATCATGGAACATGATACTTAAACCTGTACTTAAACCACAGCTGTAGGTTTATTAACAATCATAAGAGAACATGGGTTTCCTGTGGTTTTAGAGCCGCTTTAAGAGAGTTTCCACTACAGAGACGGAAATAATATGCACAAGATTTTATCTCAAAACAAAAACCTCAAGTGCACTGGCAGAACCCTCGAGAGTTTCGTTTAAGCGTCTAATTGATTTTAGATGTGACACAAGAGAAAACAGAAGCCAGTCTCTAATGCAGGAAACTCAAACACGCATGAATCACCCAACTCCACTAACAACTGTTTTCCCGTGTTTATCTTGTGTGTGTCTAAAAATAGCCGGTACAAAATCACTGATACAGCTGCAGCATCTGTCAAAAATAGACTCCTTACCATAGACTGTATATATAAATGGACAGAGCTAACTTTCTAGACGCCATGTTCCAAATGGGAAGTGAGCTTGAGGGCTCTTCCAGCTCCATCGATTCAAGTGACTTACATTGGAATATTGTCTCTGTTCTCTCTGTAACATCTGCTGTGAGTCTCATCATTTGGTCTTAAATGTTCGTATTAACCCGCTCTACACGATCTTGGTGTTTTTATTTCACTTTTTTGTCTGTAAATCAATTCCTAGGCCAAATATGGAACTCAGCATCACATTCACCTCATAACTGCAAGCCTCGAAGACTTTCACCTGGACTGAAGGGTCATTCCACTTCAATTCACCACAAAAAATTGCAGTTTGAACTCTCACATTGTCCAATTGCAAAGAAAATTGGTGCATGGGTAAGTCATAAGCCAAGAAAGAAAAATTCTCTTTTTACATTTGAGATGAATAACCTTTGACCTATATTTTGACCTTGAATTTGACAATAAGGGACATGCCCGACCTCAATGACACCAATAGAAAAAATGTAGTCCTATACATCTACTACAACAAAAAAAATCTGGAGGGATTTTCTTTTATATTTTCACACAAATTAACCTAGAAGTTGACTTACCCCATCTTAAGACATGACAAATATCCAGATGGCAGATTTTGACTCCCCTTTCCAGAGATACCTTGGTTTTTGATATCGGACCAGTAGTTGCTGAGTACCATATTTTCTGCACTATTAGGCGCTCTGGATTATAAGTCATTGAATGGTCTATTTTCAAACTTTTTCACAAATAAACTGCACCGGACTTTAAACGAAACACAACAGTTAGATGGGTCAGTGGGATTTTGTTTGGTGCGTTTGCGGGCTTTGTTCAGTTGTGGCGTGTAGGGAGGGTGCTGTCTGCGACCGCTGGATTGTTGGCGTGTTCGCAGTGACTCAGTTGTTCATTTGTGGCACTCGCTTTTTTGGTTTGTTCCTCCGTTCTGTTCCTCGTCCACGTGGAGTGATGAGTGTGTCTGTGGGTAAGTTTCCCTGTGCGGTCCCTGCTCTGTACGTGTTTGTGTGCGCTGCGGGTGGTGCAGCTTTGTAATTTACTGAAGTCATGCTGGGACACCCGAGTGGATTTGTGTATAGGGCGCTCTGGATTGTGGGGCGCGCAGTCGTTTTTTGATAGGGTTGGAGGGTTAAGACCGCACCCTATAGTGCAGAAAATACAGTAAATGCAATTTGAAATTCGGTGATCACGCAAAAAAGTAAAACAATGAAATTGCAATATCTCGGAAACAGTTACTCTGATCAAACAAAAATTCGAAATTTTGGCTTTTCTGGCTATGATTTACCAATATACTGAGTTTCATCAAAATTTGACAAAGTAGGGTTTAACTCATTGGGTGAACTGAGGTGGACTGACCCTGAAGGTGAATACTGTGGGTGACATCACACTCACATAGTCCTTTTCTTTATAAAGGCAATGCTCCTTGTGTATTTTTGTTGCAGACAGATGGGAAACATGATAGAGTTGGAGTAAATGAGGCGTTATTCTGCTGTTGGTGTTTGAAGAAGTCAGAGTATTTGATCCCAAACAAAATGTGATTATGTCACACTTACAGGTCATATATTATGCAAAACTGACTGTTGTGAACTTTAAGCCACGTTATAATGCTGTTACCTCCTCAAAAACACACTTGTTGAGTTGTTTTTTGTTTCATTCATATATGTATCAGTATATATATGAGTAATCCTGCATTATTAGTCTGTCTACATCTCCAAAGCTCAAAATGTTCAGTTCCACCTTGTGATGTCATTTAGTAATAGTTTTCAAGTTAACAGCTTCCTTCTATCTTTTTTAGTAGAGATTGGAAGACCAGAGCTGAAATCATCCAAATGATTCCAGTGAAGGTGTATGGAGATCAAAACACAGTGGAGCACTTCCTGTATTAGCACATGACCTCAAAAGGAGGAACAGAGTGTTTTACTGTTTCAGAGAAAAACTCAAATATGCAGGATTTGTGTGTTTAACATGTGTGAATGAAACAAAACACAACTCTAGGTCTGTTTGTGATGAGGAAACAACGTCATAACAAAAGTCAAAAGTTTTAGAACACCCTAATTTTTCCAGTTATTTAGTTATAGCTCGAAATGATTCAAAGGCAAAAACTGAACAGCCAGAGGTTTAAAAAAAAAAGATAAATGATAACCAAACATAAGTCCAAGCTCTGCCAAAACTACCTCAGGAAAAAAGAACAAGATGGTAAAGCTTGAAAACATGGAGTGTCCAGCACAGTGTCCAGTTTTAAACCCTATTGAGCTGGTTTGGGATGAACTGGACAGAAGAGTGAAAGCCAAGAAACCTACAAGTGCCACACATTTATGGGAACTTCTGCAACAGACTTGGGAAGAACTTTCTGAAGAATATTTGATTTCTATTGTTAGGATAAATAACTAGGCTTAGAGAACAGACTTTAAAGCAGCTCTGTTTGTGTACAAGTCTCTCCATGGCCGAGCACCAAAGTCCATCTGTGACATGTTAGTGTCATATGAACCATCTCGCACTCTGAGGAGCTCAAGGGACCGGCCTCCTGCTGGTGCCCAGAGTCAAGACTAAACAAGGGGAGTCAGCGTTTCAGGTTCATGCAGCTAAAACCTGGAACAGTCTTCCTGAACATGTGAGACAGACTCTTCTGTGACGCTGTTTAAATCCAGGCTCAAAACATTTCTGTTTCACTGTGCATATGACTGAAAGGTTTTCATTCCGCACTCTTCTCTCCAATTTATGTCTCTCTTTTTTCATTTTAATCTTCATGATTATTTATGTTTTGATTTGTTTGTAGTGTGATTTTAATGTATTTCTTATTCTGTAAAGCACTTTGAATTACTTTGTGTACGAATTGTGCTATACAAATAAACTTGCCTTGCCTAGGTGGTGTATAACTACTGCTATGATGTTACTGATGTACTGCTATATTTTATTATTGTACTATTATAATTCACTCTACAATGACCCAGAAAACAGGGACTAGATTACAGCTGAGGGATGCAGAGATAGGTTCAGTTCAAAGATATTCTATTTCTATCTATATGTCTAATCAATTAACTAAATAGGGCAAGGACTTATTGATAGGGATACGCTGACTCACGACTCATCACCCTGATCAGACCAGCAAGACGCTCTCGTAAGGGGAGTGAGATGAATCCAGAGGATCTTTGTCACAATCGAATAAGATTGCGCAACGTGCCAAGAGGCCTGGCTCGCCTGTGCACCAACGAAGAGGCACTAAGTCTAAACCACGATCGCCTCCCACTATAGTTTGCGTATAAAAATCATCGTATAGGCATAAATATTCAGTCTCTGCATGGGAACGTCAGCACAGACTCCTTGTACTTTGGAATAAGTAAATTATCTGGAATAAGTAAATTATCTGGACTTTATTTCTGTTTCAAGTGTAATTTTTTTGTCTAAGCAGAAACTAATGAACACGCAAGGAAAAGGGTTATTTTCCTCAACACTATTGTAAAAAAAAAACGAGCCACGAGTGTGTTCAGCTGTTCTATCTGCCAAAGGTGGACACTTCCATGAATCAAAAGTTTAGAATACTTTTTGGTAAACAGTAAATAGTAAAAAAACTGGAAAAAGTGTGGTGTTCTAAAACTTTCGACCGGTAGTGTAGATCAGAAAATAGTATGATAAGGGCTTCATATACTGTAGATGTGTATTTCATGTGGATATTGTCTTTATATAAACAGTAGAGTCTCACCAGAAGGACCAGGATGTAGACGCAGGAAAACAGATACTGGTGGATCTCGTGGCTGATGGTGCAGTTGATCACATCCTCATCGCTCATGCTGACTCTCCCTCTTTCTCTCTCTCCCTCTCTCCTCCCTCTCCCTTCTTTCCTCTCTCTCTCCCCCGACTCCCTTCCTTTCTCTCCTTCTCTCTAATCTCTCCTCCTATCTCTTTCACACCTCCCCTCTCCCACCCCCAATCACACTCTCTCTCACACACACACACTCACTTTTTCTGTCTCTCTTCCTCTCTGTCTCAGTCTTTTGGCCCTCTGTCTCTCTTTTCCTCCTCCTCACTCTATCCCTTCACTCGCCCCCTCTCATTCGCACACATTATTTCGCTCTCTCCTCTTTCTCTCTCTCTGTCTCTTTCACACCCACTCACTCTTCTCTCTCTCCCCTCCTCCTCCTCCTCTCTTTCACTCCTCTCTTTCTCCTCTCTCTCTATCCCCTCTTTTAGTCAACAGATGTCACTCCAAAACACCAGACATGCTCGGGGATTTTGGTACTCCACACATGATTTGTTTCTGTCCCTCATCAGCACCTGTTAACCACAAAAGAAAGTACAAAATATGATCATTTAGAGATAAAACAAGTGTAGGGTGACCAGACGTCCCTATTTACCCAGGACAGTCTCAGCAGATTTATGCAAAACCAGTGATTTGTCCCAGTTTTATACAAGAAATATCCCTGGCGTCCCTGTTTTTGACCAATCTGATACCTGCCAACTAGGGATGGGCATGAGTAGTCGATTAATCGATAATTGATCATTAAGAATTTCATAGATTACGTTCATTTTTAATCAACAAACCGAATGTAGGTTGCTGTTCGTAGCGTAGGGTGACCAAATGTCAGTTTTTCCCCAGACATGTCCGTTTTCCACGTCTTGTATGGCCATGCGGGGTTTTTTTTATAAAGTGATGCAAATGTTCAGGTTTTCATTTCCTTTCATTGGGCCATTAAATTGAGCGTCTCTCGTAGCTCTCTGTAACTCAGAAGGAGCGAGCAGACACAGACAGCCGAAGCGAAAATGCGCATTTAACGATGACTTGTACCAGAAATTCCCCGCTTTTCGTCGCGGTCGAAACAAGTGTGAGGTCATGTGCACAGTGTATAAAGCAGCACATATGTTTTGGTGTCAAGTGGGGGTGTCAGGGACCTCAAAGTTCATCAGGACACCGCAAAACATGAAAAAGCTTTGCCAGGTGAGAGTAGCTCAATGTCAATGACAAGGCTCCACCTCCCACCCCCCGTACGGTGTCCTGGTTTTGACAAACGCAAACCCTAACCTATATTCTACTGAGTCGTGTCCTTTAGTCTGACAAAAGCTGAACCACATCAGTGCACAACGGTGTTTTGTTTTTTTTTTCAAATTAGCCATGCGGTTTTAAGTTTCATTTCTACTTTCGCAAAGCTGCATGAAACACATTATAATGTCAAACGGTTGATGTGGCTCTAGAGTGGTGATGGTTTATATGTTGTAAAGTTGAGTTTATTTATGCAGATTAGTAATAGTAATAATAATGATGATACATATTATATAAAAACGTTAATGATTAACTGAAAATTGATTCGAAATTAATTCTCCCTGACGATCCGATTAATACAATTTCATCGAATGCCCATCCCTACTGCCAACAGTAAAGAGAGACATAAATTGTCTAGATTGTTTTGGTTTTAGGTGTTTGTTTAGGTAAAATTACAGAAAACACAAAGAAAATATGACTATACTGACTCACATGTTATCGTGAATAAGTCGTGAATGGGCCAAGTGCTTAAGAATTTTCTTTAACTACGCACTTGTTTCAGAATTTTATTATTACCAATCACAACCAACCCGTGGGTGTGCCAATTTTGAAAATCTGATCACCCCAAATTAGTGAAATGTGGAAATTAGTTAAACATTTTCAGCCTTCACAAGAACATGGTGATAAAACACAGATTAAATTAAACTTCCTTCCACTGTTGGGCAAGATACTTAAAACTGTAATGTGATTAAAATGGAAGGCATTACTTTACTATTGCATTACTTTTAAGTTACTCTCCCTAAAATAACTGTGAAGATGCTGAACTTTTGTGCCATATATGGACTGAACCAGGACTAAACCATGGACTGAACCAGAGCTGAACCAGAACTGAACCAGGACTAAACCAGAACTGAACCAGGACTAAACCAGAACTAAACCAGAACTGAACCAGGACTAAACCAGGACTAAACCAGGACTAAACCAGGACTAAACCAGAACTGAACCAGGACTAAACCAGAACTGAACCAGGACTAAACCAGAACTAAACCATAACTGAACCAGGACTAAACCAGGACTAAACCAGGACTAAACCAGAAGTGAACCAGGACTAAACCAGGTCTAAACCAGGACTGAACCGAGGACTAAACCAGAACAAAACTTGGTCTAAACTAGGTTTAAATCAGGACTAAACTAGGACTAAACCAGAGCTGAACCAGGAATGAACCAGGTCTAAACAAGAACTGACCCAGGTCTAAACCATGTCTAAACAAGGACCAAACCAGGACTAATCTTGGACTAGAACTTGGAATTTAGGACCACCACCCCTGAGAGTACCCTGAGTCTGTGGAACAGGATGTGTGCAAGCCGTGTCAGCTGCGGTTGGCCCCGCGGAGTTCTGCACCGGTCCTTTCGCCCGAGGTTAGCTGACAGTCTACACGAGCGTGTCTCTGGCTTTTGCATTGCTGCTGATATTGCAGCGATTTTAGCAAATTTGTATGAAGAAAAACCCACCACTTCAATTCAGGTTAAAAAGCATTGTAACTGACTTTTGTACCAAGTAAAATATTACTATTTTTTTCCCTGTAATGCCATACATTACTGCATTACAGCAAAAAGCAATGCATTACAGTAATTTGTCACTTTTATAACACGTTACTCCCAACACTGCTTCCCACAATGCAAAACAAACAAGTCTACATGAGATAAAGCTGCACTATGTAACTTTTCTTATAGATGTTCTGTCACCTGTTTATCTTCATTGCACAGATCTTCATTTATTCGTATAGTGAGTGGGCTCGCCTATCCACAGATCTGACCTGTAAGAGAAAAAAACAGAACATTTTAACTTCTCACCAAATGTTAACTTGAACGCGTGTTAAATGAGACATATTCCAAGAGCATACATTAGCAACAGCAATTTGGTGCTCACTTTGAAATTAAAACATTGTATTTCCAGATCAGAACTCATCTAAATGTACAGCTAAACTCACTACACTGCGGTGAGACGTTTACTCTGTAAAGGGGAGAGATGGGTCTGAAGATTCTCACAGCTGTGCTGATAAAATTCACTTCTGCAACTGACAGGGAAGTTTAACCTACTTCCTTTTAACATGTGGTTTGGTGCATCAAAGCATTTAGCACCAAGTTATCAAAGAAAACACCCTGAGAAGTCAGTAACAACTGCAACTGCAACAACTGATCAGAATGATTGTGAATAATCATAATTGTATTTGTATTTTAAAGGCCCATATTATGCCATTTTCTGATCTATGTTATAATGTAGTTTCCCCATCACAAACACAAGCAGACCTGGAGTTGTGTTGTGTTTCATTCACACTTTCAGTAACCCTTTATTATTAGTCTGTCTACATCTTCGAAGCTCAACATGCTGTTTCACATGTTGTGTGTTGTTGTTGTGATGTCATGAAGCGGCAGTTTTCAAGTTATCAGCTACCTCTTATCTTTTATTTAGTCAAGATAAACAAGTCCAGGGCTCAAATGATGTTGATGTGAAGGTGTATGGAGTATATAAACTCAGTGAAGTACTTCCTGTATTACCACATGACATCACAAGGTGGAGCGTTTGTGTTCGAGAGAAGAACTCGGGCTAAAAAAGTGTTAAATGTGTGAATGAAACACAACTCCAGGTATATTTTGATAAAGAAACAATATTATAACATAGATCAGAAAATACACTTTGTATTTCAGTCACTACCATAGACTATTTTTTTCCCAAAGACTGGGTTAAGAGATTTTTTTCGGTCACCATGTCAAAATCTATGTGTTGACTGAAATGTTAAGACGTGTTTTGCATAATTTCTATTTTTTTTGTAATTATTTCATTGACTATTTTGTTCCAATATTGTTGGTTCAATTGAATGTTGAATAGAAAAAGAACTGGGCTACATTTAAAGTCCAAACAGGCGACTTATGGATCCTTTTATTGCTGCTTTAGTGTTTTTTATTGTTTAAAACTTGAGTAATACTAAATGTTCACAGAGACACGATCACTCAGTCTGCAATAAAATATCCTCATTAATGTTCAATAATGGTCAAATCCACCTTTATTTTGTGATTTACGAATAATGTCTATTGATTTGGGTCGCGAAGGTTTGTGAATTTTTAAATATGGGTCCCTCAGAAAAAAAGTTTGGGAAACACTGCCATAGACTGCACTTGGCCCTTACAGTCTAAGGATAAAAATCACCTCTTTTGTGACATGAACTGGAACAAGTAAAAAAAAAAAAAAAAAGACAAAAAAAACTTGTGACCCTGAAACTTTTCAAGCTACTCACTGCAAAGAAGCAGACCTGGCAACTCTTCAAGGTATTTTTGAGCAATAAAAACACCAGAAGTAAATGATAGACTGACAAGCACAGACAGACAGATTCAGAGTGATTGATGGATAGTTCACTGCCATATGGAACCAGCAAGGACATCTCCATGGAGACAAACATAAAGGGCAAAGGATAAAAATCAACTCTTTTACAACATGAACTGGAACAAGTAAAAAAAAAAAAAAGAACTTGTGACCCTGAAACTTTTCAAGCTACTGAAAAAAAAAAGCCCAAAGTCACTGTAAAGACAAAGACTTGGCAACTCTGCACCAAAACTGATATTTGGCAGTGTCTAGCAGTTTGGTTGGAGTTACTTTCCCTTTTAAACATGTCCACCCACAGAATCTACAGGATCTATTACAGCGAGACATGGTTCAGTACCTCAGACTATCTCCCATCTTTTCCATCAGAGTGAAGGATTTACAGTTGAAAAATACAGGTCAAAACTGTACACCTCGAAAATACATAATGACAGAAGCGCTGTGTGGGAACTAGGGATGGACATGATTAGTCGACTAAACAATAATTGATCATTGAGAATTTTGTCAATCGCATTAAATTTTTAATCGACAATCGACAACCGAATGTAGGTCGCTGTGAGTACCGCAAGTAGATCACTATATCACCCAAAGAGTGCGTTTACATGTACATCAGTGTCCCGGGTATGATTGTTTTTTTTGAGGTCCGGGTTCGTCATGGTGCATGTAAACACAGTATCCCGGTTACTGTGAGGAGAAAATTCAGTTTGTCGACTGGACAAAAGTTAGTTTGGTTGAAGACGGATGGTTGTAAATAAAGAATATAGAAAACAGAAAGAGAATTCTTCTCTAAACAGAAATGGAGGCCTCAGACACCATCTATCTCCTATTCTATCTCTCCATCCTCAAACCTAAATCGAAACAAACAAGAGAGCAACAGGTGTAGTCAGGTCAAGTCCAGAGGTGTGGAAGCTCCATTATGGCCATGAATTGTTATGTTAATTAGTCCCCACACCCTGTACAGGTCAATAGGCCGAACTAACTAAACAGAAACTGTAAACAAGTAGATGTGTTAGTTTCAGTTAGTTAGCTCCTCCCTGCAGATATAAGGAAGTGTCCACCAGCGTCTGACCAGAACTGAAGAAGCAACTTGGATGAGCTGCGAAACATCTTCAACCAAACTAACTTTTGTCCAGTCGACAAACTGAATTTTCTCCTCATGGATTCTACCTGGACGACCTGGATTCTTCACATATCCTGGTTACTGTAACATAAAGTTGAGCGTGCACGCGTCCAAAACACAAACACTTCTCAGTCTTTTCATCACAATAGAAGCCAAAATAAATAAAGACACCAACATAAATAAAGTGGGTGAAATCAAATTAAGACCTGCACTAAGAGCTGAGAGCAGCACTTTTAGTTTATGCAAATGATCCATGCGGTTTTAAGTTTTGTTTCAGTAAGACGTAAACAAATGTGTCAAAGCTGCATTAAACACATTATAATGTCAAACAGGCTTATGTGGCTCTAAAGTGGTGATGGTTTATATGTTGCAAAGTTGAGTTTATTTATGCAGATGCAGTAATAGTTAGAGGTGTAACGATATCCAAGTCTCACGATACGATATTGTCACAGTATGAACCTCACAGTACGATATTTACTGCGATATCATGGGAAAGCTCACGATATGGTAGGAAGGCTCACGATTAAGGATGTAACAATATCCAAATCTCTCGGTACGATATTTACACAATTTACATCTCATGGTACGATATTTTGTGGAGGCTAAACAGCTAACTGTGAATATACAACTTTTTCCTCTTAAAAATGCCTTGACAAGACTTAATCCAAAGAACTAAACTTAAAAGTGCTTAGAACTGTTCTTCTTGTAATCTACAGTGAAATGGAGCAAAGGATCATGGTCTATGTAGTTCCCTCTATCTTTGTTTTAGCTATTGCTGCACCACAACTCTTAATTTAAGCAAAGAGACTTGTAATTTCGATATATTGTGATGGTCCACGATATTATTGTGAGACTTTTGACGATACGATATCACGATATTTCAGTTATTGTTACATCCCTAGTAAACAGTAATAACAATGATGACAACTTTAATATAAAAATGTTAATGATTAATCGAAAACTGATCGTTAATTCTCCGTACGGTCGATTAAGAAAATTGTAATCAATTGCCCATGCCTAGTGGGAACATGCATAATTAAAATGTATAGACAGGTTGTCTTTGGAGTGAATGTTCTTTTAAGCTAACTAAATATTTCAGTAGTTGTGCGTAGGGTAAAATCTCAAAATGGGTGGTGTAAATTAGCTCAAAAAAAGACCAAGGCACTCAGTCTATCTATAGAAAAGTTAAAAAGCCATTGCATCTTGAGTAATAAAAGTCCTATTACGCAAAATTGACTCTTGTGAACTTTAAGCCATGTTATAATGTTGTTACCTCCTCAAAAACACACTGGAGTTGTTTTTTGTTTTGTTCACACATGTTTGAGTAACCCTTTATTATTAGTCTGTTTACATCTCCAAAGCTCAAAATGCTGTGTTCCACCTTGTGATGTCATGAAATGGTAGTTTAGCCACTACATGACAGCTACCTTTTTACCTTTAATTCAGTAGAGATTGTTTTTTTCCAGAGTTGAAATCATCCAAATGTTTGAAGTGAAAGTGTATGGAGTAAAAACACAGTAGAGCATTTTGTGTATTACCACATGACATCAATGTTTTCTGTCTGAGAGAAGAACTCAGCGTAAATATGCAGGGTTTAAGTGAATGAAACAAAACAGCCTTCAAACCTTCAGCCTTCAACCTCCAAAACCCCGCCTTCATCAGGTCCTTGTACCGTGACAGAAGGACTATTTTGTAATTTGAAGTTCTGCAAATATCTGTAAAGTTTTATCTACAAAGCTAATTTTCAACTGTAGTCACTGGGCCAAGTGTAGAGACTCCAACAACAGACAAATTGTGTTTTTTTCAACTGCTTTTCTCCATGGAGATGTTTGACAGTACAGCATTAAACCTTGCTATCTTCATGGAGACCAAACCAGACCAAGTTACAATTACAGGCCAGATATGTGGTGTGGCAACCCCGTTCACAGTCAGAATGTCTGTTTATCTACGTATTTTTGAGCTAAAAAAAACACCTGTAATTGAATAAATGTAAGGTAGAGCTATTTAAAGGGACAGTTTGGAATTTTGGAAATAGGGCCTCATTTCCTAGTGAGTGTTGGAGACGTGTGGAAACACTTATTCCATCCAGTCCTTGTATTTGCAGAGGTCGCTGGTGCTAGGCTAGTGCATGTCAATGGCCATAGTTCTCCTGCCACTAAAAACAGTCTTACCCACTCCACAAAACACCCGAAGCAAAACTATTATTACACCAGACTGTCCATGTAAATGTCTGTGTTGATAGAATAACGCTTGAAACCTTGCATCACATGAATCGTCACATGTTGAGGGACTATATTCTCATATATCACTCCGCCGCTGCCACGCTTTCTATCAGGAAGTACAATTCACTGCTGCTGCTCAGACATAAATCCTTCAAATGCAAGGTTGGTTTTACTTCTAAAATTATTCTGTCGATACAGACATTCACATGGACAGTCTGGTGTTATAATAGATTTGTTTCAGGTGTTTTGTGGAGTGGGTAAGACTGTTTTTAGTGGCAGGAGAACTGTGGCCATTGACATGCACTAGCCTAGCACCAGT